TAACCCCGCTTTGACTCAGTTCCAAGCTCACCTTCGGAAGCGGCCCCACTGCGCATGCCCGGGCTCGCAACGGCCCTCGATCGACCTATAGTAACCCAACCAAAAAGATTAACTCAGATTAACCCAATTCCATGCTCACCTTCAGATGCGGCCCCACTGCGCATGCCCGGGCTTGCCAAGGCGCTACGATGCGCGGGCGTTGCGACCTCGGACGGCGTGGGGGTCTCGTCTGCGTCCCTGCGCTTGCCCGCGCTGTCGCCCGCCTCCGAGGGTGACGTCAGCATGAGAGGCGCCAGCCCGAAATCCACCACGCGCACCTGTAGGCACCACTTTGCTGGTGAGGGCTGGCGGCAATAATAGGAAAACACATATGAAGCGTCTACTTGTGAAGCTTCCGCACGCTGGTTAAGAGAAAGAAGGAGCATCAACTGCCAATCTGAACGTCTGTACTTTCGGGCGACAAAATCGTTGAATTCACACGCACACGATGATGCTCCAGTCTTCTTGGAAAAGGACCCTAGAAGGCAGCTACCAGACACGATTGTTCTCAGACACACGGCATGTGCAGAGTCGAGTATGTACCGTCCGAAATGACGGAACGGGTCTCCGGACACTTCGGACGGCTCACCTGCATGTTGTCGTCCAGCAGAATGTTGCTGGTGGACAGGTCGCGGTGCACGACGATCGGCTTCTTCTTGCGCCCCGGGAAGGGGCTCACCAAAGGGGAGCTTCCGGCGGGGGCCTCTGGCGTGTGCAGGTAACTGCAAGAAGGGAGGTCGCGCAAAAGTGAAACTCGCAGCTTTGACTAGAATGCACAAAGTATGACTGGGTATGGTGTTCGCGGATGTGAGGAGCGCTGCAACAGGAGGGCGTTACAAAACCATGTTGCTGAGAGATGGATGATAGGAATCTTTCCTACGATATGGATGGTAGAGAATCACTTTGGTCCTCAAAGGACCGTAGTTGCCACGAAAGAAAAAGCTGGCAAGTGGCGCGATGCCATGAACGTTATAGATAACGACAGGATTGTTGCGACCAAACAGACGGCATCGAGAGCCCCAGAGATTAGCTTGAACCCTCTTCACTATGTTGCATGCGCCAATTCCGTCACGAAAAGTCGAAGTGGATGCAGGCAATTGCGCTTTACCCATATCCCTTTAGTTGGTACCGAAGACGCTTCAAACTTACTTGAGGCCCCGTGCCGACCCATAAGCTATCCGCATCCGCTGGCGCCACGTCAGCTCGACTAGATGGTGGAACTGCGGCTGCCCAGGGCGCGGCCCTGCAGAGAAAGTGCATTCACACTCAGCATGAGAGGGCATTCCCCACTTCTTTGGCGAAACATTGGGGAAACATTCACACAAGCCCGGCAAGGCGTTGACAAAGTGGGCCGCTCAAAACCTCGCAAGTATGCAGCGAAAACTTTGGATCTTCAAATCTACTCAGGAAGCTTCAGTAGGGTTTTTCAGCGGCTCAAACAAAGGCTGTAAGCGCTTCTATGCTGCGAAAAGCCCCGGGGTAGCAGGGAGGGAGATGGACACGTGGCGCGATCCTCACCGTGCAAGTGGTCTGCCAGGCTGCCGAACGCCATGAACTCGTACACCAGCATGCGCACGTTGCCCTCCATGCAGTACCCAATCAGCTCAACCTGCGAGGGCAATAGGTTCACGTCGTCAGAATCGCCGGGAAGCGCGCAAAGAACTAGAGGCGGGGACACTCTCGCACCTCTGCGCTCACCATGTGACTACTTGTTTGCTGCTCCGGCAACTTTGCTTACTCGACACTGGGCCCGTTTACAGTAGGAATAGTATCCATTCACATCTGGAAGCTTTTATACACCCCAGCTCACTGGGTACTTCTTCTTGAGCCGCTACAACAAACGTCACACTGCCCCCGTTCACACCAAGAGGTATCTACTTAAACCAGAGGGAGCCTATTCACGTCCGGCTTACCAGATACTTATGCTTTAACCGCCCCAGCAGCTCCATCTGCGTCTTGAACCGCTGGTCCGACAGCGTCGTGTCGACGTCCAGTACTTTGACGGCCACCTCTAGATCCTGCGTTGGCTTTTTCCCGCGCACTTTCTCCGGGCACTGCGACACGGGCAGAACGCCCCGGTAGACCAGGCCAAAGCCCCCGGTTCCTACCCAGTTGGCCTGAGAGGTACGAACGGATGAGGAATGGTCAGAAAACTGCTTTTTGTGGTTTTGGGTGCCAAGTCAAAGTACGCTTTCTTGACAGCGGCAGACAATTCGCTTTCTGAGAGGATTGGTGGTTGGGCCCCTTTCTTACGAAGATGAGTCAAATCAAGAAAACAATCGAACAGGACGAATCGTCACCAAAGAAGAAGTTCGGAAAAAGTGCGTCGTCTCCTTGCGGCCGGTGCAACGCTTCTGACATGCGAGGAGCGCGCAAGAGCCCTACTCACTGGGTAGACACGGCATCTTCGGCTGTCCGCAACTCGACAGACCTCGCAAACTTGAGAGACCCCCCCTCACCTCGCTGAAGTTGTCGGTGGCAGTCTGCAACACCGCAAGCGGGATCTCCTTCGCGCCCACGTTACTCAAAACCGCCGACTCCGGGGGAGTCGTGACGGCGGGGCGCATTGCGGGCTGGTTCAGGAACGAAGGCCCCGCTAGTTGGCCCCCGAGCTGCGTCATGCCTATCGAAGCGGGAACTGCGAGGTCGGTTGTCGGTCTACCGGGCGCTTCTGGCGGAGGGAATGACGTAATCTTGACCGGGACCTTGCGGATGGGGGGCTCGAAGGCGACCTCCTCACCAGTGCGCCTATGCGGAGGGTCAAAACAGGGGTTATGCTTGGTTTATCGGTATCAGAGCAGCGATGCAAAGTGGTGGTTGAAAAGAGAACTGTTAGACCAGAAGACCTACGTCTTTGAAGGGGATCAGGATTGTTAAGAAAGTATGGTTATGCTTGTAGGGTGTTGGTTTGGGGGGCTCGAAGGCGACCTCCTCACTGGACCGCTTGGCAGGGGGAGAGAAAGGGGTTAGAGAGGGGCGATTTGCTGAAAGAGGCACTTTGCTTGCGACAATCTTGTTGGAGCAGCCTTGCAGAGCGGTATTTAGGGTTACCAGCAAAGAAGTGTCTTGAAGTCAAAATGGGTTTACCAGACGTAGGGGAGAACAGGCAAAGTACGCAAGTTCGGGTATGCTTGCAGGTAGGGATGGGTTCCACAGGTCCAGTTGGTCGCAACAACAACTCTGACTGGCACAATAAGCCAAGCTCAAGCTCCTTGGGCCAGATCTGTCCTGGGGATTGGCTTCAGATTCTGAACTCGCACCGTTTTCAAGCAAAAGCTTTCGCTTCCAAGGGGGTTGAGCCGATGCGGCAAGTCGAGTTGCGGCCCAAGAACGGAAGAGCAGACAACCAAACGAGAAGTTGAAACGAACAAGAGGACAGAAGCGAGCAAGGAACAAAATGATAACACGAAAAGCAGGTAACAAGAACGAGCGACTGCCGACTCACCTGATCCCCTCTTGGAAGAGCGACTTGCCGACGTTCGCTCTCTGGGGGGGCTCATTCACACCGGCCGGGCTCCACGAGTGCGGCTCCCGCTCCGCCTCCACGAGCCGCTTCGCCCCGGAAACCGGCCCTGACCGCGGTTCCGAGTACCGCTGCTCTAGCAGGGGGTTGCTGGAATGGGAACGGGAGCGGGAGGGGGGCATGTCAACGTACGGCATCAGGGGGGGGCGCACCGCCAGAGCGCGAGAAGTCTTCTGGGACGCCCCCCTCAGAGCGAGGGAGTCGGGGTCGTTGGTGAGGAGCGGCTGGAAGCGGCGCGAGTGCGGGGGGGAGGGGCCGTGACGCGCGGGGGGGGCGCAGCGGCCGGTTAGGAAGCACCAGGCTGGAGGGGAGGGTTCAGGAAGTTGGTTAGTCTATGTAATGAAGGAGAAAACGGGTTAGGCAAAGTTTCAGACTCTTGGAATCGAGTAGATTACCCCGAGTATACTTCTGTTGCTCAGAATTGCTGACTTGCAGCTTGAAGCCACACCTTGGGGTCAGGGTTTCGGGATCCCAGACGAGGGGAAGTTAGCAGGGGAAATCTGGGAAGCAACTTGGCCTTGCTTCCTACTTCAACAGGTCCTGAACTCGAGGAGTGCGTAATCCAACGGCTTCAAAACAGTGCAGTCACAAACTCAATGTTAGAACCCTCAAACTCTGGCATACCAACAGCTGAAAAACCTGAAAGCTCTCGTGACGAATTAGCATTGAAAGGATAATCGAGCTGCTACCAAAAAGCTGCGCAAATGATGCTGTCCTTTCCAGGACTCACCTACGATGGCGCAGACTCCAATGAGTAGCGCAATCGACAGCACGAGCAGCGCCACAACCCAGGGCCAGTTAGTCTGGTTAACCCTAACCACGACTGGCGCCGCCGGGATCGGCGTCGGGCCAGGAGTGGTGGTGTCAACGGTTGGGAGGACCGTCAGGGTCTGGTAAGGGGTGAACGCGGCGCCGAGATTGACACTTTGCGAGAGGAGGGCGGTTGCGATGCGTGAGGAGATTTGCGGGTCGAGTGACGTGGCGTTGGCGTTCGAGGGGGGAAGGAAGCCCACAGTGGCAATGACACTGCCCGGGGCGATTTGCAGGAGGGCGACCTGGGGATGCAGGAACGGTGTCAAGTGAGGTTGAAGTGGTAAAGTATCTCGAATGTCCTCTAACTAGTTAGAGGGTTGACTGGCTGGTGGAAGACGAAAGTGCTTTTCACCGATTATTTGCGGATTTGACGAAGACGGTCTCCTTGTCAAGACATGAAGGACGGAAGTGGAAAGGCTGATTGCGACCAGCGATGTAAGCAGACGAATCGGTCCTGGCCCTCGATTCGAGATTGTAGATCTTCGGTCTCCACTGCCCTCTTCCTCCGTAAGGAATAAAAAGCCCGTTCTACAGGACTTTGTATTTAGAAAGCTACCCACAGGAGCTGAAAAGTTGGCGTGCGTTGCTCACCTGATCCAGGCTCAGGCTTAGTTGCTGTGCGAGCACGGAGCGAAACTGCGTGGCGGTAGCGTTATCAAAGTCCGCCATGGTCAGGTTCACGATGCGCAGCAGGACCACCAGGGGCGTCAGGCACTCGGAAGGGCAGGCCGCACCAGCGGGAACGGGGCGTGCAGTTTGGCCCAGGGGGCACGTGCGGCACTCTGCGGAAAGAACAAGCATTTGCCTTTCTTTCCTGATTCCTTTCCTCGTTTCTTCATCATTTTCGTTACGTGCTTTGTCTCTTTGTATACTGCGGGAGGCGAGATGAGGATGCGAGGTGCGAGAACTGAGGACGGAACCAGGAGCTCAGCTTGGAGCTTCCGGAAAAGGTGAGGACTGTTCGTCGTCAGACAGAACAGCCATCTTTTCGCCAATAGAGAGTACGGTAAACGCAACGGCGGCCTGTGTTCACGATGCATTTCCGAGTGCCACCTTGTCAAACCAATCATAAGTCGACGCCGGATCATGCATCCTTCAAGGGCTTCTCGCGAGAAGAGGAGAGAGAAGTGAAGAGTAAGGCTCACGCTGCGGCTGGCAGATGCACGAGCTGCGCGCGGACCCGTTGCCGTTGCAGTACTGCAGCCCGGTGTTCGCCACCCCACCCGCGTCTTGCGGGCATGCGCAGGCGACGGAAGTGCCCGGAGAACAGACCGCGGCAGGAGCCCCGGGGAGTAGCTGCCCGGGGGAGGGGGCGGATGCGGGAGCGGGGGCCGTAAGTCGGTTACCAAACGCCCTGGTTAGGAGCAAACCGAAGTTTAGTCAGTAGCGGAAAAGAGGCGCACTGTGAGTTTGAGAGACGACACGAGAAGTAAGAGGCGGGGTGTTGCTGCCCGGGAGAAGGGGCGGATGCGAGAGGCTGGGGCCGTAAGTCGGTTATCGAACGCCCTGGTAAGGAGCCGGGAAGAGTCCGATGTCAGCGACGGAAGAGGGGTCGAAACAGAGGCGCGCAGGGTTCACGAGTTGTGGTCAACAGGGATACAAGACCGGAAGAGATTTCATCTCTTGAGAAACGACAAGAGATGCAGTCTTCAGTTGGCGGATATGCGGACGGTAGCGGAATTGAAATCGAAGTCCGGAACGGCGTGCGGCTCCGCCGCCAAAGTCCAGCGGTGTCTGCTAATGCAAGATTTGTCAGGACTATCCATGTTAGAGCCGCAAAGTATTGTGAGCTACAAGCAGCCTTCCTTGCCTGTCACCAGCGTATCTTCCCCCACCTATCTGAAACGAATTGCTCGCAGGAGAGAAGAACACATGTTGACTTACCTGAAGTCCGGGACGAACTGCAGTTGACTTGGAATAGTCCCAGTGAGAGTGTTGTTAAAGAGCCATCTGCATGGAAAGGGAGGAAGCACTTTGCACCGTGTTGAGCCACCTTACAGGCTTTCCAGCATATTGACGAAAGGGAAGTATCGGTCTCTAATTCTCTTCTCAGTCCTTTGGCCCTCTTCGAATTGGTCTTCAGCACTGCAACACTTTCACGTTCTAGCTGTAGAAGCAGAAGGTAGGACTGCCTACGAGATCGTCATAACAATCCTTTCGAGTATTTCGACTAAACCAGAGAATACGGACCAATGGAAGGAGGCAAAGAGTAGAATCCCACACAGACTGCATTCGAAATGACAGAAGAAAGGCGAGACGTGTCAAGCCATTGACGCACACACAGCGCAACGTCACAGAGAATGGCAAAGCAAGCTTCGAAGCAAGCGAGAGTAACTGCAGATTTATGCCAATGCTTCGAAGATTCATCTGTAAGCTAACAAGTTAACTGTAAGCAATCCAGGTTGAAAATTGTTTGAGGCGTCCGCTGAAACAGACTGACATGGTGACTGTACATACTTTCAGAGGAAGCAACGATCCAAGTGTGCAGATTCAAATAGAATGGAACGAGGTTGTGATTGCATGTACGAACAGAAGCGGAACCTTACAGTGATTGAAGACTCAGCACGTTGGCAAGCGCCAGTGGGATCTGCCCCGACAGTCGGTTATTAGCCAGGGACCTGCAAACATTCGGCACACGCTATGAGCACGTTGCTCAGAAGGAGGTTGCAATGAGAATGCTTGCACGATGTCAAGGTGCTACTCTTTTGCGTAAGGTGCTCTCAATCGATGAGTCGTCTTCATCAACGACCAGGGCCCATTATTTGAGACACATCGACAGCGTTACGTGATGGTCTCGAGAGGCTGCAAGGGCAGTTGATGTTGATGCTGATGCTGTCGCCTCGTCTTCTAAATGACGTACGACCCGATTCAAAAGGAGCCGAGTTTGCAAACAACATTTGAGTGCACAATTTGAAGGCAGAGTGTTGATGCAGAGATCACGGGATCTAGGTGATCCGACATCTCCATCAATAAAGGACAAGTCCTGGGGCCGAAAGCAATGGACTTCGACTGAATTGAAAAGGCCCAAAAGAAATCAGACAAGAAGGAGACGGTGCTTACAGGAACGTCAGGGTTTGCAGGTTGCCCAAGGAGGCAGGAATGGTTCCGGTCAGGCTGTTGCTGCTCAGATCGCTGCAAAGGAGGCGCAAACAATGTCTTTTGGCTCAGCAACTTGTCGTTCCCGAAACACCGGTTAGAGCCAGCTTCCACGTGACGCAATCTCTACTCAGCGGTTTGAGGCATGTCGATTGACGTCACAAGACGTCACGGGGCGTGCTTTGCGACGTCAGCAAACCCGCCGCAGACTCACATGCTCTGCAGCTGGGTGAGGTTACCCAGGAGGGTCGGAATGCTGCCGTTCAACCGGTTGCTCTTCAGGTTGAGGGCCTGGAGGTTTATCGCCCCGAGTAGCTGGCCCGGAATGCTGCCGGACAGCTGGTTGTTCTCCACCGAGCTGGAGGGTTGAGGAAACGGGGGTTAGGCACTAGGTTCGCTTTACTAGATATCAGGAGGTGATACAGAACACGGTAAGAGAGCCGGCATATGGCCCGGGGACGTTGCCCGACAGCTGCTTGCGCTCAGCAGACTTGGAGGGTTGCAAAACTGGAAGCATTGCCATGCTTGAAAACCCGGAAGACACTTAGGACAAGTTTTTGACGTCGAAAAGGACCTAGAACCAGAGCCCGAGAGGCAGTTGACCTCAAAAGCCTGAAGGGGTGACATGACTACGGGGCCTTTTGAACGATGCCATAGAGGCAGGTTAGGAAGAGCAGGTTTCGGCAGCGACCAGCTCTTAGAGAATATCGGTGGACGGCTATCGAATCTTGGCGAATAAGAGACTAACTCTGCTGCCGAACCTGGAATATGAGGGTTAAGGTGAGTACACATAATGTTCAAAGGGACCATACAGACAAAAAGAGCGGCCATACAGAGAAAAGAAGCGGATTGAGTTGCATGCACGATCTCATCGTCTCCTGGTATTTCGAGCTTCATTGTCAATTTAAGGTTGTATGATGCTTGTATTGTCGGCATTTGTGGATCAGAGGAGGGACGCGCGGTGGAGCTTACAATTGACGGAGCTCTGTGATTGTGAAGACCTCCACTGGGAGTGGCTCGGTCAGCTGGTTGTTGTCTATGTTGCTGTAGAGAGAGCCGAAACAGTGTTAGACGCCGATCTGGTTCGAGAATCCGAAACCTTGCGAGATGCGACGAGCAGCTTGAAAGCACCAAGGAGTGTGATTCGCGTCGAATCAAGAGTAATGAGGTCGTGATGACGACTCTGTTGAGGAAGGAGAGTCTTCTCTCAAATTGTATTTCAGGCTAACAAAGTGGATCAAATACAACTGCTTGTGAAGCAAAGCAGAAACGATGTGAACACTGCACGTAAGAAACGAAGTAAATGCACAAGATGATGTCACGATCTTGCAACATCTGAGACTGTCTTCCAAGAACCTCGACGAATCTTTCCCACTATGGCGAACTGTTGTTTGCAAATCAGGACCGCAATCCGGAATCGGTTTAAAGACCGGCATGGATCCAAGTGAATCATACTAAAACACCGTCAGCCGATTCCAGACACGTTTGGTGCTTCCTTTTCTGGCCTCAATCAAGCTTTGCGTGCTTCAAGGGGCTTTCCAACTTTCTGCACAGAGATTGTGAACAGGATGCAAGATTGGTTCACACAGGCTGTCCCTTGACCACCTAAAGCAGAAGGCCTTACAGGATGGTGAGTCCAGGAAGCAGCCCGAACTCCCTTGGGATGCCCCCTGTCAGCTGGTTGTTATTCAGCAGCCTGCAGACAGGAGCTCGCACATGAGTAGGCTTGAATAAGAGCCCCGAGTTTTCCCGCAAATTCTTTCTCGACTTTTCTCGATCGAGCTGGACAGACATCGAACATGGGTCGTATCGACCTCGGGACGCACTGCACTGGTGAGTCAAGCTTCCAGCACTCCGAGGTGGTTCCTTTCCGAGTCTTTTCTGCACCTTTCTGCCCCCGCCTGATGCTTCCTAAGCTACGTGTAACCTTCATCTGAGAGATTCTGCTGTGACTCGATCCGCGCTGCTCCACTGTCTTAGGAAGGGCCTGGAGACCAGAATATTAAGATGAACAGATAGCTACCTGAATCCGTTGCTGGCTCCTGCAGCTGGACGATCTTACCAACCAATACTAAAAGACATGTTGCGAAACCTGACACGGCAGGTAGCGGTAAGTTGGAGCGCCACAAGAAGCGGTTCTTGTTGCATATTCTGGCAGAACACTGACGTAAAGATGCCAAGAATCTTCATTTGGAAACCCTGGTTAGGTGATTTTACAACAGTCAGAAGAAGAGACTCAAAAGGATGTGTCATGCTCGAATTATTGCCAAGATTATTGGAAGATTCCAATTATTGGAAGATTCCAATTATTGGAAGAAGAAGCTGGAAGGAGGGCCCCTAGTTCGAAACATTATGACAGAAATTGCATGCAATTAGAATGGAGGCTAGGATTTGGCTGCTCACATCTTCTTGAGGTAGAACAGGCTGCTCAGTTCAGGGGGGATGGTCCCTGTGAACCTATTATTGGTGAGGACGAGAGAGTTTAGCCGGCTGAAATTGCCGACCTCGGGAGGGATCGGCCCAGGTACATTTGCATTTGCAAGGCTCCTGCACAAGTAAAGAACTTGCTTTGGCTCATGCTTGAGCAACCGAGTGGCAACCTGGCCAAACGAATTGACCATAAGTAAGGCACATTCTGACTGTGCTATCCAAGGAAATCTTGAAAAGTCTGGACGCTCAGCAAGAGATCCTACTTCAGAGAGAATCATTTCTTGGCGACTCTGCTATTAACATTCTCAGCTGGCTGAATCTGATTGTTCCTACTTCTGTTCACTTTAGGCTGGCCGCCCTTCTGCACTTTTGAAACCTCAGGGCACTCTGCATAGTCTTGCCACCTCCGATGCTCTGATGACTGAAGAAAATTTGATCGTGCGCAACCTTCCTGTACCCAATTCTCTAAACACCTGTCCATTGAGTGAGCTGCCCAGTCCAGGCGGATCGCAGAAACATACACCAAACATAATTCTTGATTCTCACAAGCGTGCGTGTCATCGTTTCATAGGCACCCAAACCTGAGCTCAGAAGTTGGATTGTGCCATTCTTCGATACGAAAAAATGCAGAATGTTGTTGACTAAGTCTGTTTGATTGTGAAGGACTCCGGGCTCATGACTGGCCTCATTCCTCTCAGCATTCAAACAACAGTGAAACGCCTGCCCAAACATAATGGCCTTAACCAGTCGGGCATGCCCTTCGTTCAGCTCCTCTGATTGCAGATCGACCAGGATAGGTGTAGTGAGACCCCAAGAGATTCTAGCAAGCAGTCCGAGGGCCGGGAGCTACTCACAGTCCTACAATATTGTTGCTGCCTGTAAACGGGTCCTGGAAGCAAACGACCCCGTTCCACAGATTGCACGGGTCCTGCCCGTTCCATGTATACACCACAGGATTGCCCAGCCATTTTTGCCTAATGCTGAAGATGGCCGCCACTGCAGAAGGGAGAAAGTTGCATCAGTTTTTCCGGGTTGGTGGTACACTGGCTTCTGGTTAGCTGCCCGGCAACTTTACTCGTAACTAAGGGTGGGGTGTGACAGATCTTGGGGCCCTGTGCAGCTCCGCAAAAGATCTGAGGCAGAAACCAAGTTTGGCTAGTCCGAAGACATGTCTGAGCAGTTATGTTATCCAAAGGGCATCGAAAATTCTACGCAACTGATGGAGAACACCGATGAAAGCTTCCACCTGTAAATGAATTGGTTGGAAATTGGGTAATATTAATCGGCGTACGATATATGATATGTCGTGAGTCAAGAGAGCAACATCAGGCCTTTTTGAAGCCCCAGCTGATATTGTATAGCCCCAGGGGTGCAGGGCGCCCTTGGCTTCCGCTCTGGAGCTTTCAGCACAGCCCAGCCCACATTCAGCACAGACGAGCGGCCCATCCGTAAACAAACTCTTTTGAGGCGGTAAAGCAGCTTTGCTCAGCTTGCAGGGACTGTGAAGCTGCCGTTGGGCGCTGATCTACACGCCGTGACAGATGCGACTGGGTGGTCGACCTCTGGTCCTTCAACATGGAGCAGACTGCTCAAACCTCGCTTTCCTACATTGCGCCTTGCTTCAAGAGGTCTAAAGTTTCCAAGCTCCCCATAGGGAAAACAACTTGCACGAAGCTCAATGAAGAGAGGCTGCGGGCGGACCGCGCCGAATTAAAGCCCTCCGCTTGTCTCTTCCGCTTGCCACCAAGTCCATCATGCAGCTCACTGCTTTACCACATCGACTTTAAACAATCGCCATAGGCCCCCAGGATTCAACACCGGAGCTGAGCTAAACTTGCACTCAAGTTCTTGAAGTCATCCCCCACCCCCAGCAGATTTGCATCAGCATGGGACGGTGTCAGGCCCTCACCTTCGGAGGGTGGCAGCGGCGCAGCGCCCTGGGCTGATGCCACGCCAGTGCACAAGACCACCACCAGCAGCCCCAAAAGCTGCTTTGCATTTGCCATGTGGCCCCCTCTTTTACCACATGACGCCTACTTTCCCACCACTTTGTCACAATCTTGTCGGTTTATTTTTTATTATCGGCTTGCAAGAAAGTACAATGAATACCGCTGTGATGATAGCTGCTGCAGGTTGTGGCGTTTACTCCTTGCTGTCAACCACCCTTCTTAGAATCCACGACATTCCCGATTAGAAGAGGCAGGCGTGACATGTGAACGCAGCGCCCAAACAGACCCTTCTTCCTGAACAAACTCTGCCGTTTTTCGAGGAGCTTGTTCAACCCAAAGTAGGATTCTCAGCAAAAGCAATCTTTGCTGACCGCCTGCATGCCAGCGGCTTCCACCTCTTTATCAGAGAGAGCAATCTCTGCAGACGCAGTCCCGCTGCTCAATGGACCACGGCCTATCTTTCACCTTGTCCACAGTTGCTGCTCCTAAACTTTGTACAGAGGCGTTTGTCGTCTACAAAAGTTCTTGAACATGACGCCCTTCTTCCACAACTGCCCAATGCAGCCTTATCCTGCTTACAAGTTCAACAGGCCTTTCGCGGTTAATTGCTATGCATAAACGCTGACGGGAATCCTTGTTCAGCAGACACAAACCCTTGTTCACCCTTGTGCACTATGCTGGGCAAACTTCTTGGAAACGACATTACCTACACGGCTGTCTGCTTTCACGACATCATACAAAGCAACGCAATGCTGCTAAACGCACCACCAGGCATGCACCTGGCTAACACCTGCACAGGGCCTCGCCTCCTGACCTGGCCGCCCTCCCCATTTCCTTGCTCGGATAGCATTCACTAGGTACCAAATCTATTGGTAAACCTTGAACGCCCTTTCCCTCTGCCCTCTCCGGAGTCCCACATGGCCAATCCCCACTGAACCCCAAACCGTTGAACTGAGTGAACGCCACACTGGCGCGAATGCATGCCTCAATTCTCGCCCAGTGCACTTGCCGCAAGTTCCTTGGAGAGGAAAGCGCACCCACAGGACTCGCCGGGGGCGATGGCCTCGGCTCGGGGCTGCGTCTGTCCGTACGGTCCTGGTACGTACTGGGCTCCTCGAAACTGAGCAAAACCTCAGCAAGCCAGCTACCGCACAAGAGCGGTCCGATTTTCTACGATGCAACTATCGACCGCTCAAGTTTTGCTTCACAGAAGCAGCTGCCAGGGTCAGCCGGCCTGGTTTGAACTTCTGACCGTGCACAACGCATGCACCTTGGTGCGTACCGTCCTGTGGTGCAGGATTGTACGGCAGGGGCCCGGGAGACTCCACGAGTGGGCTAGTACCTACTCAATGCTCATGTAGGTACATATTGGCCGATTGTGCTTACCTATGTACCTACCTACCTACCTACCTACTAGGTAGTTCGACTGTTACAGCCTGCTATGAATAGCCTCAGCTGGTATCATGGCGGCTGTCTCGACTGCCGCAGTTCACTGCGCGCGGGAACAGAATCCCGTTTTTTCCGTTGCCAAACCACGGACTCCGTGATTTACGCTCGTAGATCCATACCGAAAAGAGCGGCGTTGACCAAACGCCCAAGCCTCAAGGGCGCCAAAATCAGGTTAAAGCAAGCTGGTTAAATCCTACTGTTGTCGGGTATCTATCCTGACCGTCGCCTTCAGTTCCTGTATAAGGCCCCGCTCAATAGAGGTTTCAATAAAGCAGCCGGAGCCCCCGTACTAAACTAAAAGTATACGGATGGGTTCTGACTTGTTTTTGTAACCCGAAAAAGTCAGTAGTAACATGAAGTGATATGCATAGCCCTGGGTTTGATTAGAACCCTGTTCTCTAAATAGTATCCTAGATTGTTGGCTAGACCAGGCTCCATCAGCCAGACTCCAGGGCCCAGGCGGCAAAGATTCTCTAGGATAGTGATGACACTCCATAGCCTATAGGTCGCAAGTTCACACGTGACTCATGAAGGGGTCATCCATCAGTCCGCTCCAAGCAATTAATGATCGGTCATGGCTCATGTGGGCTTCTGGGTATATGGACCCTCAGTTCGGCCAACAACTCGCCATCAACTCTTTGTTATCACTTGTAGCTGTCTAGCTCCATTTTCTTCCGCTTAGACCTTCTGAGGCTGATCCGTGTGGCTATGCATAGCTACTTCGATAATGGAAGCTAGGAACTCAAGGCGTGCGACCCATGATTCCAATATGCAACATACTGCGACTTCACCCACAGGCTTATGGTTCGACATCATGCATCGCCACTAAGAGGCGGCCTTTGCTGGCCAACTGTTGTTTCGAGACTTCTTGGTGCTCCTGCAAAATCCATTTTCTCAAAGCCAGGAAGTCTCTATTGTACACCTTAAAAGTCTTAAATCGATACTCCGATGCAGGTGAACTTGCAGATTACACTCCACCCAGGTACAACATACACTATCTATTCGTGACTTCAGGCGGCCCTGAATCTAAGTTAGATTCAACCTGAACCAGACCACTTTTGTTAGGAGCCCTTTGAAACAGTCAACTGACTACGATATGTACTAGTACTGACGCTAATCGGGCACTCGAGCATTCGGCAAATTACAATCCTCATTTGATCGTTACATTCATTCCTCGCTCGACTTTGGGGTCTCTCCCTTCCACCCGCTCTCACGCAACCACTCCGGCCAGTCCTTCATTCCGGGATAGGCCCGGCGGCCAACGGTGATGTCGAAGTCGCCGTAGTATGAGAACTCCCTGAACCACGCGAACATCTGAACAAGAATCTCTGGCGTCAGTCCATTGCAAAAGGTCGAACTTGGAACAGAATCTCTAGCAACTTGTGCTCCGCACTCTTCTTGACCAGGACTTGGCAGCCCGTCTACTACCCACGATTGCCCAAATCCACAACCACATCTAATATTGCTGAAATCGAAGTTCGTCAAAGATTGATCCCCGTTCGGATTCTCGAGAACGCTACAATACGCACACGTAAAGGTGGCCTGCCCAACAGTGCTCGAAGTTCGCGGCCCCAGAACCGGAACCATTTTGACGAGCTCAAGTGAGGCGACTTTCAAATCGGTGAGAAGGAACAACTCTCGGAGCGGGCTGATTACCTGCGCCCACTCCTCATTCGGTGCTTTGTCGTCTGGAACGCGCTCGAGCACCGCCTTTTTGCCGGTCACCTTGGTGAAGTCCTCGATCCATTTCTTAATGGGCGCGTGGTAGCCAGCCAGAGGGACGTGCCTGCAGCAAATAGAGTGCGAAATATCAAGTCAAGATGCTCAGTTCCAGTCGAAGCGTCTAGATCACTCTACAATTGCAAAGGACGAATCTCAGTCTTTTTGAAGGGGGGCTACTTTCAGTCCTGTGATACGCGAAACACCTGCGCCATCCACCCATGCACTTGCAGAGTCTGCAAAGGGAGCAATAGGAACAGCCGAAGAGCATCCTCATAAGCAGTCTCGCTGCTCTTTGCAATTCGACGTTCACACAAGGCAAGTCCCAAAATTGGAAGCCGCTCTTTGCCTTCGAACGTAATCCTTCTGACGTTGCAAACGACTCGACAGTAAGATGTAGAAGCTTCTTAATGGAGGAGCCTAGACGACGAAAAGTTTGACCGTTTCAATCCGAGACCTTTGTCACACGCCGCTGATCAACAGACCATTACGCAATTTCTGCTTACGAGCCGGATGAGTTTAGGCACTAGGGTTCCACAACTTTTTTCAGGCCACTGTTTTAGGAGCGCTTTCAAAAAAGAAGAATTTGTCTTACTTGTCGTGCCACTCCTCGGGATGCTCCAGAATGTTCAGCACCGCGGGCCCCGTGTCGTCAACGTCGTACCCGGTGTGCCGCGTGTTCTCGTCCAGCGGCACCGTGAAGGCGACCGTTCCGTCCGGCCGGGTCTTGACGAGGCCCGGGAACATGCTCCAGTTCTGGTAGTACCACGCAGGAATCACGAACGTGTGGTACTTGAACTGCTGCTTGCGGACCACCGGGTCCACCTGCGCAGGGTGGGGCGATCATCCGTTTGACTGCGTAAGCCTGCGTTGCGTTTTCCTTCACACTCCAGCAGTTGCTACATCCGAGAAAGCTCGTAAAGATTTGTGATGATGAATTGATCAGAAATGGACCGAAACGGCAGCTGCACTTCGACCTGACCCCTATCTCCAAGGCCGGCCGCGCAGGAATCTGACGTCTCGAAACATTGGTACAGCAGGTGCATTTGCACTTCGACGGACGGAACGGAAGCGACTGCCCAACATATCTGAAATCAGCGGAAAAAGAACGAAGAGGGGAAGGATCCGCGATTCAGTACCTGAACAGGCACATGTCTGAAGCGAAGAGAACGAAGATTTAAGTCATGACAAGAGGGTGTTCTGGATACGGATAGCTGACCGTGGCCTTGTCCGTGAAGTGGGGCACCTCGTACTTGCCACCGCTCTGCTCTTCCACGTTTGCCAGGGTGCTCCAGACGAAGTGCGTCACGCCCGCCTCCTTCGCACCCTCAGCAACTGTGGTACCGTACTCCAGCTCGTGAGGTCCGATGGCGTAAAAGTCCGTCACCTGCAGACCGAAGATGAAGATGTCCAGGCGTTGAAAGGTCTCTCCGAGCTGCTATACGTTAAGAAACCGCAAGAGGGTCCCGCTTTCGGTCAAGGTTCTCACTGAAGACTACTGATCTCTCATTCAGAGGATCGTAGGTTCAGGGACACCGTCCATCGCCTCCGGTACAAGGTTCTTCGTTTGAAAGACTGCCGTGGGGCGCGGCGGTTGCAATTATTGCGGCTTCGAGGCAATTTAGCTGCTACCTTTCCGAAACCAGATTAACTCACTTTGCAGAACACTGCGATCCGCAAAGAGGCTATTCGGTTCTCCGAATATGATCCGGCATCGTTTCTTGCATTTTGAACCTGTCCAGACAGGTTTGAAGCTGCCAATTTAATATTACAAAGACACGATCTCAGCAATCTTCATTGGGCTTTGGAAGACAAAGCGCCGTTTGATAAGGACAAGAAACGAAGCCGTTCTTATACTCACACTGTAGACAGCGTATGCCCCCTTGCATGCTGCTACGACCTGGTCCTTGTGCTTCTGGTCGGCTTGGAAGGGCTCTGCTCCAAGCTCCCGCAGGGGCTTCAGCTTCTCAGAGTTGGGGTCCTGCCTTGAAACGCCCCGCACACGATACTTGCCACTCTTCATCAGGGCCTTAACGACACTCGTGCCCTGCAGCATGAATTTCGTACAGATTGATAGAGAAAGAATTGACTAAAATACTGCCTGAGAAAATTGTTGACTGATCTCTTGATGAATAAGGATCGAGCAACTCTTTGCTGTACGTCAACAGCTTCGCTGCAGCCCCGCGCGCTGAAGCTGGTTCTGATTCTGCCTGATGTTCATACCTTGAAAGTAAGCTCAAGTGCCTCTAAAGAAGGATATACAGCAATCAAACATCACTCATTGTCTTACTTAGCTATCACGACTAATCTCTGGCGGATGCTTAGGAAAAGACTCAAAGTACTGTCATGGATAGAGCAGCTGCGCCCTTTAGAATCCAGATGTATTCTTGCTAAGCAAGTTGGGCAGTCCTTGCATGTGAAATCAAGGTTGGAGGTATCTTGAAACTATGAAAATACCTGCTACAGCTACAGGCAATCAACCCTCAAAGGCTTCATTCTTCATAAAACACCAAGCTGAGGTGCCGCCTTCGTATTGTCCTCACCTGAGAACCTGTCGCCCCGAACACCGTCACCAAAGGCTTGTCTTCTGCCATCTTTTCCCCTGCCCCAGCGGTGAGATTTCCAAATGTGGAACGAATCAGAGAAACGAAAAGCTTGGAGAAGGCGCCGCAATTCCTACGAGGTCTCCAACGATAGAGCCTGTTGCGTTTCGCTCACGAAACGATGTGATGGAAGCCTGCTCTATCTTGCGCACTTCTCAGAAAACGGATCAGCGAATACTGCTATGCTGATGCATCCGCTCCAAGCAGGAAGTCGGGATTTGTACACTAGAGTCGAGGATTTTGACCGGCATCTGCCAGTGCTATGTAGTAGAGTTACGCAGAATGGTGCATAAATAGTTCATCATGCTTTGCATGCATGCACGCGCACGACGCCCCGCGGTTCGGTTCGAGCTGCGCCGCTGATGTCAGCTTTTGCGCAGCACCTCCTATCCGAGGACGGTCGAGTCCGACGCAGCTCGCGCGGCGGCCGCGCCGTTCGGCGACAAAACTTTCCTACCCACACCAGTGCGCACGCAAGGGCGCGTCTAGGCGGGCGCGCCGCCACTAGCCGCGGCCGCCACCTGGAGGCTTTGCAGATAATGAGGACCATGGAAAAGGTCGCGGTCGCGGCGCGCCCGCATAAGATGTTGGACAGTCTACAATCATCATCCTGACCAATCAACTTTTGCAAACAGTCCTCCTGCAAACTTGATAAAGGGAGAACTTCTTCCTAGAGAAAATTCCTTCTGCAATGCAACGACTTTGTGAATATGCTGCCTGTTCTGAGGGATTGACGCAGGATTGACGGCAACTGCTTCAGCCCTGCTGAATTGGAACTATGACCAAACAACACATCGACTACTCAGCAACAACCATTTTCCGAGGAACTCATGTTAACGCCTATCGGGCTTCCCCTCTTTGCGTGTCTTCAAATCGGCAGAAGGGACAGCAATAATCCCTGAAGTAGGAGCTGGTGTGCGACGGACTCGGAAATCGAGCGTCCGTCTGAAAGCGTGTTCGCCGTTGCAAGGCTGGACCTGGACCTATGCAAGCACTTGCACAAGGGACACCGAGAGAACGTTTTGAGTGATCGCGCGCGTGATCAGCGACTCGAGCTCGTGCCAGATAATAAAATTTTACAAGGTAAAGGGACGAGTATGTACGGATGTCTGTCACCTTGTTCTGCGCCAAAGAGAAGAAAGCTGCACTCCGATCGCCATACCCAGAGGTAAGATTTGTTCTTCTTTCAACTTCCATTTCAAGAGCAGCCCCTGTGACAGTGACTAGGAAAGAAGCTCTGCCGCCGATCCTATCGAATTAGAAAATTCACAAACGATAGCCTGTTCGCCGATTTCGGATTGAACTGATTGAACGCTTGAGTTACGTTCAAAGGCAGACTGCAATTCAGGCGAGGGCGCAGACGTGCGTCAGAAAGACAAAGCTTATGACCTTACTTCAACAGTTTCACCAGTTAAACATACTTTGGAAATATCCGACAACTTTGAACGAGTTTGAAGACCGATTCGTCTTGCTACTCATGCAAGTCTTTCTGTTCGTGTTGCGTAGAGGCGAGCTGCCTGAAGATGCCTGGAGGGCAATATTATCGCGATGCAGTGGCAAGCAGGTCGCTCTCTTGTCCCTCGTTTCGAAGAACTTCAAAGAGCTGACCTCGGAAACTTGGATATGGAAGGTAAAGCACAGTCGTTATTGGATTCGCCGTTCTCGTGATTATAAACGCTTTTAGCAAGCTGCCGTACACAAGAAAGAGAGCCGCGTTGCACGGCATCCGTCCTGCTCCTAGGTTTAAGAACAATTTCTCCTCCCACATGTCTTCATCCGATTGGATTGGTAAATTGTGAGCTTGGAATCATCTGCGCCTGATTGTGTCGCTTGCATTACTTTTGACAGAACCTGTGCCTCCGACGGAAGGTGTGCCTTCCCGAGCACGTCGGCTCGGGAGAAGCCTTCAAAGAACCGAAAGGCGGTTGGCGCTCTGCCTACTCTCTGTTTCAAAGTAAGCTCAATTACGTTCAGCGAGCACAACTGAGTGGACGAGCACGCAGGACACCTTAGTCAACTCGATGAATCTAACTACCATCAATCGAGCTTTTAGTTTTGGACGAGGGGATATTCTGACACAGCCGGCGCTCTAGCAGTCCTCTTCTCAAGGTAGGAACCTTTCCTTACAATCTTTTCGTCCTCGCAGAGCTCCTTTCGAACAAGCCTTCTGCAATGACGTCGACTTTACAAACACTGTCAACTGCGAGCAGCATAGGTAAAGCTCTAACTTTTTCTTGCTTTGAACCCGCTGGCATTGAAAAGCATCACGTCCTTACCGGTTCTGATACACGTACGTAACCGCATGCCTTCTCCGACTTCTTAATCACATTCGTCAAAGGGCATTTCTCTGTGGATCTTCCATTCATGTTTTCCGGTTGCTCTCATGCAGATTGGATTAGACTCGGGATGTTTGAAGTCACTGATTCGGAGCTTTATGTCACGGACAGCATTACCGCTGTCGACTTGCCACAGACACATCAAGCGACACCGAGGACAGGGAAGTTGTCGGCAGAATTCCCAAATCACACGTTTCTGAGCGTGCGGTCAGGCTGGTGGCTTGCAGAGCTTCACCTGAGGTATGACACATTCGCCTGGTGCTTGAAGGATATGCACTAAACTCTTGGCTGCACGTGCAGATCTGATAACGATTGTGCTCGAGCCACCTCATGTTGCAATATCTTGACTCAAGCTGGAAAGCTCAGGTCACAGCGGAGCAGCTAAGCTGCACCGCCGTCCAATAAAGAAGATGGACACGTCTCTACTTCTCTTACAGGAAGTGTGACCAGTGTGAATCGACCTCTTGCGAGGGTAAGATTCTCTCACCCGACCGGTTCAGATTCAGAGCGTTCGTATCCTGCTGTTTTGGGGTATTGCTACTCAAGGATTGCAATGCATAGGCAAAGGCGAGCCGTGTGTTGTATCGTCTGAGCAAAGACGATGAAAACTTACACATAATGCAGGAACAACGCAAGCTCTTGAACTGCGCCATACGGACCTGTACCTCTTCGAAGACGACTACAGAACTGTCGATCTGCAATGGTCTCAACCAGTCTTGGAGTGGAGATCTCCCTCTTGTGAAAGAATCTTCACGGGTTGTTTCGATGGACAGAAGCTGAAGGCAGCCGAGACCAGAGGTGAGAAAGTCTCACCCATTCTGAGGGACTGACGAAGTATTGGTCTCCACCATTCCCGAAAGCTTGTAGAGTCTTTTTGGGTGCTTTCCGGCTGATGCGGCTTGGGTTCCTTACAAACACCCGAACGAAAAAGGATTTTCGGTTGTTCTGAAACTCCATGGTTGATGATCCAGAAAATTAATTAGCAGGTTGAGCTCCTATCTTCAAAGTGCAGAGTAACAGACTCTGGCACGACTGCAGGCGCCTTTCTCTTGGAGAACTGGCCATCGTGGGACGAGTTTCAAAGGTAAGGACGACTTTATTGGACGTTCTTGATGTCAACCATTTTTAATGGTACGCTTGCGCAGTGCCTCTTCTGATAAAACCTCATCGATGGCAGAAATCTTTTACACGCACTTCACTGATTCCTCTATCTTTCTGCGTCACCAGAGCACCTTTTGGCAGGATTCTCAAGACCGGAGCGGCCATCATCACAAACGTCTTTCCTGGAAACAACGGTCAGTAGCTATATTGTAGTAAATGCTTGAAATATTTAGCTTCTGCTTGTCCTGCTCCAGGCCTAGAAGTATAAAGGGCTGCCTTTTCTATTGTCGACAGCGGCTACTCGCTTGCGATGACTCAGGGAAACATTATTCTTGGTGCAGGGTTCAAGTCTTTGATTCGACAACTAAGCGCAAAAGGGGCCGTTAGAGGGGTCAGCATAGAGGTTCGACTCACTTGAAAGCTACTGCGCCTCGCGAGGTTCTGATGCCAGAAGTGCAAGACTCATGTAGAGCTCGAGACTTGGTTCACATTCATTGTCGTCTGCTACAAATATTCTTTAGGTTGTTTGTGCCGAACAGTCGGTGCAATTGTCCGCCTGCAAGGCAGCAAAGCTACTATCTAGATCTGGTCAACTTTTCGAAGAAAGCGCACATGATGCGTTCTTCTACTGAAGGAGTAGAAGCGTACCTAAATGAAGCCTTCGTATTGGCTTAAAGCTTTCACGTGTCTTCTGTTCCTCGAAGAAGACACGTGTTGAAGGCCCATGGTAGGGCAGACCTTATACCGCGCCCTACCCAGCGAGCACCATCATTTGGTGTGCGTCAAATGTCTCGTTGCGATTTTTATATGATGCGCTTATCATGTCTCGTCATATTCGTAAGAAAATGTTGCAATGAGCTTGATGCAGGGAGTCTCGGCAAGTGTGAGATTCCGCCGAACAAAAGATTCCAAGACCAAAATTGGCAGACGGTACATTTGAAGTACTCAATTCATCTAGCAATCGGTCTATAGTCCGCTTTCTATCTGAGTAAGGGTACGGCAAGAGACGCCCGCAGAAGATGACCAGTCTACGACAGGGTGGGAAAACGGCTGTTGTTCTTGTTTTGACTCGCTATGAGTAAACCCTTCCCTCGCTTTATTCCATCATGACGCGTATCTGCTACGGCTCTCTTCAGGCCTACTCGACGACGGTGCTCAGCTTCTCTTTGGCAATCTCGACCTCCTCCTCGATCTGATTCAGGTTTGCCACCGCCTCTTCGACTCGCTCGCTGAAGCGCACTTTGCGCGTCCTTGGCAGCGTGGCGCCGCCCTCAGAGGACTCGCGTCCCGCCTCCTCGAGCTCCACGTCGCTGGCCCCTTTTGTCGCTCCCTTGCCGGACTCCTCTGCCTCAGGACCCTGCAAACCGAAGTCATGCAATCAAAGTTCGAAAATCTCGACCCGTTGAGAGCATTGATCCCTAAGCGCGCCTTCACGTTTCATAGATTTATTCAGCATCAAGACAATGTGTGAGAGCGATGCTTTCAGCAGGCTCCGAAGACCCATTCGTTTTCACATGCTTGAACGGGTAAGAAGGGTCCCCCAAACAAAGGGCACAACGCCCAATCTCTTTCTCCGCCTCCTATCCGCCTCCTATCCGGGTATGAGCTGAGAAGAAGCGTGACTTAGTTCACTTTCAGAAAGGTGAGGAAAGAGCTGCCGCTTCAAATTTTCCACCTTGCCAGCGGGAACTTCCGGACCCTTGGTCCCTTGCTCCCCTTCCGCCCCGCCTCCTTCCTGCGGAAAATGAAACCGCCGCCCCATTAGGGCTACCGAGGACGACCATGTTCGAACGACCTTGACAATGAAACAAATAGGGTATCTATAGTCGCTTCAGTCGATACGGGCCTTATGCTGCAGGCTTAAAACTAGAGCATGACAGAATCAGAACGGGGGTAAAGAAGCTAGTCACAATTCTTGACGCACCCTGAGACCATGGAAAGATTAGTCTCACATCCACGGGCTAATTTTGTACCAAACAAAACAACGACACTCTTCGCGAGCAGGTTTCGAGGGTTTTCGAAAGTCTGCCGATTCTAAAAGTGAAATTGAAGCGACTAACGAGATGATAAATAAAATGAAAGCGCATCAATACAGGTTCCCATAACGGTTCCTACCAGCTGTCCCATAACGGCCGCTTGCACCTTGCTCTCCTGCTCCATAATTTCCTCGACAGTATGCTTGACCGCCTCTGCAAAACAAGGCATCCAGTTTTGCATCTTCGCGATGAAGTCAACCTTCCAATGCAGTTTTACGAACGTCATTTTCCACCGCCAAAGGACAGAGCATGGATTCAGGCCTCAGACAGCACGATTGACTCCAACTCGTGCTTTTGATCATGTGTTGCTCAGAATGGCACCAAGCTTTGACGTACATCTGAAGCTCCTGTCGAGGGTTTGAACGAAATCTATCTAGCTTCTTACAAGAGAGCCGGTTCATGTTTACCGTTCCTGACTCAAGAGCACAGTCGCTCGCCTCGGACTTGCGCTCCCTGTTTACTCTGTCGTCCAAAAGCTTCCAGCGCGCGTGCGCGCGCGTCATTTTCCTACCCCTTATCTAAAGACCCTTTTTGAATCTTCACCCAGTAACATTGATAGACGTTGTGGGCGCGCGCGTCCGCGCTTTCCAACTCACCCATGGTGATCTCGGTCGCCTCCTTGGTATCTTCGTAAAGGTTCTCGCCCACCTCCTTGACGGTCCTCGCGGCCTCCTCTGCCAGGCCCGCGGCCTCCTTCCCGGGCTCGGTGACGGTCTCTGCGTCACGAAACGTCAGCATAAGATTTGGTAGCGGCATTGTTATGAGAAGAATTCAAACCCCCCTTTTTTTCCCCATGAAGACTTCTTCGAAAGAAAGCGCAGAAGCGGGTGTTTTGGATAGTCTGGACTTCTTCTGCGCGAATTCTACGCCGAATACTTTCTATGCATTTCCTGCTAGAACGGCTTCGTTGAACGGGGGGTCCCTAAACGCCATCCTATCACAATCCTGGACAAGCAGACTTTAGGATGACACTCAACTGAATCAGATTTCCTGACGAGTCAAACGCTCCTCACCGGTTACGCTTTCGGCCGCCCCCTTTGCAGTTTCGTACGCTTTGGTTGCCGTCTCGGATACCGCTTCGACCGCGGGACGGACCGCCGTTTCCTCTGCGTTGCAAAACGGAATGTGAGCGGAACGGAATGAATATGATTGCCACCCTGACCTGGGTGAAGATGAAGGGCGAGTCAAGAGTAACCAGTGCAGAGCAGATAATTTCAGAGCAAATGAAGTTGCAGAACCATGTTGAGAGATCAGCGATAAGAATCAGAGAAGGTGAGCAGAGCAGACATTGTAGGATCACATGATCCCTCCAAGATAGGCCGAACTCTCTTTAGTCGACCATTCAAATCTAAAATCTTCAAAACTCTCAATTTTGGAAGCTCCTGAACCTAACCGACGGTTTCAACCGCGCGCCGCGTCACGTGGGTCACTTCCTTGACCGTCTCCTCGACCATCTCTTCGGCTTTGCCTGCAGAGCGACATGTAGCGTTGAAGATTTCACACTAAGCTGGGGCTTTCTCTGTTCACCGTTCCACTCTGTACTATTTGGGTGCATTTGACGTTTCTTTGAGGAATTAGTCCGTTTGATGTCCCATGACGGTCTTCGAAATGTTCCGAAACGGACTCTTTGGAAGGAACGGAGTCTTTGGAAGGATTGACTCTCTGAATAGGGTTTCCACGCAGCGTGGCGACAACTCGATACAGCCGTTCGTTCTCGTCTTAGCTTCACAGCATGTGCTTCAGTCGCTCTGAGAATTCTGCACGAAGTCCTCGTAGAATACATTCCTATACTTGGTCTGGGGTCCTTCGACGCTGAAAGATTGATGTGAGAGAGTTCAGAAACATTCTTCAGACCTGAGCATTTTCTCTAAAAAGGACCAATATCCTCCTGCATCTTTCCTCGTATTTTCCGAATCTCGGCAGGCCAGATACTTATGCACTTGTTCGGCGTTCCTCATGTGGTGGTTTCCAGCCGCTTTGTCAGAAGTGGTTGTGCGAGCACGAAATGCAACGCCCTACCGAAAACGTTTTCAACGCATGCACGACCCAATTCATTGTAATCGCCGCAAAAACACATCATGCCATCTCTTGGTGAACCTTAATGTTTGATTAGCTTCGGCCTTGGAAGTCACAAGCTTAACAATAGCGCTCAATCTAAGCGATCGGCCAAGATTCTGGAAAACCTAATTTCAAACCGCACCGTCCCTTAGTCTCATACCAGAGCGATTTTTTCCTTACCGACTAAGCCCTTGCCCGTTTCCACCACCTCCTCCGCTTTCTTTTCAGCCACGGCCGCCGTGCCCTTCGCGGTCTCCGTCACGCGTTCCGCTCCTTCCTTCACGGTTCCCGCGACGTATTCCGCTCCACCCTTCACAGTTTGGACCGCACGCTTGGGGGCTTCGACCGCCGTTTCTGTCACCCGAAGAAAAGGAAATGCGTTCGATCATCCAATAGAATCTTCAATGGCCAAAGAAACTGGCGGGCGAAGTGCATTCTCCAAGTATACCGACAGAGGTCGCCACGCGCCCGAGAGAATCGCCCGAATGCTGAAGGGCGATAACTGAAGATCAATGGTCTCTGACTGCACAGGTACGCGATGGAAGAAAGTCTTTCGCATTATGCTTTTTGAATCATTTATGATTTTAGGGTCACCTATCCTTTTTGAGAATCGAAGTAAGTTGACCGTCGAAATCCGCGCGGGCGATTTAGGCGTCCCCTGCTGATCCTTGAAACCCGGACGATTACAATCAAGATCCTCATAAGCTTTCGAATCGATCACAGCTTTCCCCCACCGCCCCGACCTCACACCCTCGAAACCCAAACCCTCGAATCTCAAATTTTCAAACCCTTCCGCTCACCCTTCACTTTTGCGGCCGCGACTTCGACTTTCTCCGTCGCGCCCCCCACCAGGCTCTTCGCGACGTCCGCCACCTCGCGCACGCCCTCCTTCACCGCGCGCACGGCCGCCTCGAGCGTGCTCTCGGCCGCGTCCACCGCGGCCGCGGTCACGTTCGCGGCCGCCTCCGCGACGTCCATCGTCACCTCGAACGTGCCCTCGACGGCGCTCGCGGCCGCGTTCGCGGCCGCCTCCACCACGGTGACAGGCAGCATTACCACTGACGTCACCAGCCCGCGCGCGGGCGCGGGCGTGACCGCGGCCGCGAGCGCGCGGGGGGCTTCGAGAACCTCGGAGACTGCGGGGGTTTCGTAAGTCTCGGCGGTCTCGGGGGCTTCGCAGGGCGGCTTCAAGAGCTCTTTATCGAAACCCAGGTCTTGAGGTGACGCACCGGCCTGAGGAGAGGGCGGGTTATTGGTGAATTCGGCAAAATGCCAAATTCAAAGGTTACGAGGTTTGGTGTTTGGAAGCTTGTTACATCGAGTTGCTCAGGGATACAAAAAGTGCGGACAATCCGCCGGTCGAGATGCAATGAATCACGTCGTAAGGAATATGGTCGGATCAGAATTCGGTAAAAGCATCTCTGAAGAGCGAAAGAAGCACACGTCAACGACCTCTTGTTCTCTGTGGACAGGCAACGGTCCAGACAAACAAAAGACGGCAAGCAGCCACATTACCTTCCATAGCTAAATTTCAGAACACATTTTGCAAGCCCCATTCGCACCCAAAGGTACTCACTTCCTGGGCGTTTTCGTGGGCCAAAATATGCAGCCCATTTTAACTCCATATTCTTAATTGCGGGCGACTTATGCAATATTTCATTCCAAACTTCTCATGTAACCGGTTTGATGAGCAGAACCAACCTCGAAATGAACCCAAAACTTGGGCAGCGTGGTGCGCAACCATTCTGGCTCCCATGAGCAAAAGCCCAAACGGATTGTGCGGAAATCCGAATCTACACCACAACGCAAGACCAGATCTCAAATCTCTTTTCGGACGAGCTCGAAGGTCCAGCTCCAGTTCTCATCTCTCTTGAACTTTGTGTTCGTCAGATTGCACATCTCTACAAACCTCTATCTTGACCCTCATCAAGAAGAGCCGAACCTACAACGCTCCGAATTCCAAAAGATAACCCACTTTCTGGGCGTACTCGCGCGCCAGGATCTGCAGCTCCTCCAGCTCCTTTTCCGCTCTCTCGTGCACGTCCGCCGCCAGGCGGAGCGCCAGCTGCAGCTTTTCCGCCGTCTTCTTGTCGACCGGAACGTCGATGATCACTTCCTCGCCGCCCGCGGACGTCGCCTGCATTTCGGACAACCCTTTCATTAGACGGATGAGATATAGCAAGATTTTATCGTTTTGTTTCTGGATGCCACGCCGGGGCACCTCACGATCTGTCTCCTTTCGAAAGTGGAAAATTGCGGGCTGATGTCAGCTTTCAGCCCTTTTTACGTTTAGCTGAACGTCGACGACGGCTTCCTCGCCGCCTGCGAACGCTTCCTGCCTTTTTAAGTACGATGACAAGCCTCCAGTAATCCATACTAGCAAGAATTGCATAATTGATGTAACTGTTTTCTTTTCGAGGTTCGAATAAACGACGATAGGGTTAAGGAGGAACAAATGGTTCTAATCTTGATCACGTGGAACCTTGGAAACCGTCTCTAAGAATCTGCTCAACGCTGCCCACCGATGCCTTATCGGATGGTTAGAGGCTGTTTCTATCTCAGTAGTGCGCGAGCAGATGTGTGACTACCCCCCAAGTTTCACTACGGTGTGCGAACACGAAATATGCACTCGTTCAGCCCACTAAAGACTAGGAGATCTCAACGAAGCTTTCAAGGACAGTCTTATCAAAAGTTGCACTCCCATCTTTTTTCGCACCTGTTTCCTTCCCTTTCGCTGGCCCGCTACTTCGGCGCCTTGAACATCCTTGGTCGCCTCTTTGCAGGGGAAGTCTTTTGCCGCGTTCGGATCCTGCACCCGCTTAGAGACTGGCATTAGAGCTTGGGAGACATAAAGATGGTTAGCTCTTCTACCAAGATTAGAGGGCAACTAACCCGGCTGCGACCACGTTTTCGTAGAAGGGCCCTCGACCAGCCTCCTAGCAGGTCGCTTGACGGTGAAAACTTCTTCTGACGTATGCTGTACAAAGTGACCTGAAATTTGGAAATTACCGTGGCTCCTCTTTGGATCAGGGAATGCGCTTCTTAAGTAAGCCCATGTGTCTGCGTTAAAGGATTATCAGACGCCACAACAGAGGTTGAATGAAATGAAATAGATGAAAATGGGTGGCTTGATGATCCCAACTGCGAGCTCAAGCAGACGCCTAGAGGTTTGAGCATCTCGCATTGTATCAAAGGGTCTTGAAAAGTACCGATACTGGTTGACTGCCTCATACGACATGTTCTCATGCACGACTGGGAAAAACACAAATTTCCAGTTCAAAACAGGTCCAAAAAGTTGCTGATACGAATAAGCACTCTTTCTTTCATAGCTCATGAAGAAGATAGCCTTTAATTACAACCAGCTTCGAACGTCGCTTGGCAAGTGCTAGATTGAGATATTGACATCGCTTTTATCCGCAGCCACGATGCGAGAAGCAGACAACTTCTGATTGTGAAAGCAAAATAGATGCAATGCTACGGTCTCCTCAACGAAGCTGGAGGTCTGCTGAGGGCATTTGCTTCTTCGTTCAATTTCCGAAAGCTGCATCTAATGATTTCGAGAATTCTGGAATGAATTCAAAGCCGAGGACATCAGAGAGGGACGGCCAAAATTATGGTCAAAGTCAAGGCTTATTCATGCAAAACTCCGGACCCCTCTGCCCCCGGACCTGGAAATTGGACTCAAGTGGCCTTCAAAATGGTACTCTCAGGATTAGACAAACCTGCACAAAGTTAAACTGAAACACTTTTAAATATGCAGATTGACGCCTTGATTCTTCTCCACTTTGCTATAATCTCACCATGTGTCTGATAAACTCCGCCAGTTGCTGCTCCACCAGTCTCTGCTGCTCTTCCGCTATCGTTCCGTTGTCCTCCCTGGGCTTTCCCCCCTCCTGTTCCCACACCTCCTCTTCCTGTGCGACGAAGTCCAGGTCTCCTTCGTCGCCCTGACCTTTCTGCTGCTGTTCCCAGCCGCCCTCACGCGCGCATGCAGCCATGCGGGCTCTCAGAACAAGCGCGCGCGGCGCCTTGTGCTGGATAGAAGAACTGTTTGCATGGGGAGAGGTGCGAGGGCCTTATAGTGTGATCAGAGAAAGATGAAGGTTTCAGAGGCGCGTGTCTTTTGGCAGCTGCGCAACGCCGATTGACTTGTTCAGTTCTGGTTTCCAAGTTGACTAAAGCGCATCGGAGGATGAACAGATGCTGACGTCATACTTTCCAATTACCTATGCAGACAACTCGCTTCTTCTGCATTGCTGGCGTGATTCCTTGATCAAGCCTGGCACGAGGTATCGTTCGAAGTGAGACCTTTCCGATAACTTTCACGATCGAAGTTCCACGTGGACCGAAAACTCAACAGGTCTCGTGAGTGATGCAGAGCAACGCAATGCCAAGTCACATTGCATGCTGCTTGAACCACAGACTGATCAATACTCTCTTTTGCTAGTCTGCGATGTGTCGGAATCAATTGTGTAGTTCGTGTCGGCCTAAGCAAAACGGCGGAGATTTCCGAAACACGCGTATGCATGCGCGCACTCGGAAAAGGTTCAGCAACAAACAGGACAAGCAAAGACTCTGGCCTACTGCGGGGCAGAACGACCAGGACACAGTTTCAACCTTTAGTTTAATACGTGGGGCACGTCTGTACCGAAGGACTACTGAGCTATCGTTGCGCACAAACTAACTGCAATCATCAGCGGCGTAAGTAGCGAAATTACATGAGACATTATGATGGTATGGCTGTTGGAAGTTTGATGCCAGCTTAAGACAGCAGATGACTGCGCTTTCTTGTCGAGAACGGCTGTCGGGGCCATCGGGGCCACGGAGTGGCATGGGCATTTGTGTGTTGACGTGGCAGGATGTTATCATAAAAGATAGCGTATTCGAAACTTGGACGATCCTATTCATCGCTGGCCATAGGTCCTATAGTTCCGGTTCTTCATTTATTCCGTGCACGTTCCAATCGACCGGATCGCGAAGCTCGCAATTATTTGGAGCGTTCCTCTCAATAATAAGCGGCATTCAGACGAGCAATTTAATTCGCAGATCTGACGGTTTACAGGGGCCGCGCCTTTAGGGACATCGCCGCCTTTAGGGACACGTCTAAATCCAAAAGAACCAGTACGACTTTCAATCTGCTCAAATGGCAGACCACGTTGTTCATACTGTCTCTAAAACGGCCTCATCGCAGAGCCAATCTACTTTATTCGAAGATTGAAAAGACGCATTGAATCCACTTCCGCTCCGCTTATCCAAGTACACCCGTGCATCAAAGCCAAGATGTTCATGAAAAGCTGTAGTTGACAACCAGATTAATTGTCGTCAATTATTCTTTTTAATCCAAGCTTTCATTACATCACACTGAGAGCAAGTACACCTGTTGTACGCTACTTAAGCGGGAACGAGTATCTCGATTTCCAGCTATCCATCCTTCATCTACGTCTCTTCCCTTGATTGACGAGATGGAATCTCCTTGGCACTTGTGACAACAATCTCTCCCTGTGGCTTGACATCTCCAAGACTTTTCAGAACCAGTGGATCTCTGCTTTTGGAGGATTTTATGTTTGCTTTACTGGTGAATGTAGCCAACCGGGAAAGAGTCGCTCCTGGAAAAGAAACAAGAAGGTGAATGTCAGCTACATTCACAGAATGCCACACAGTCGATCACAATCATAAGCACGTCTTGTTTCGAAAACGTAATCTCCATATGGGCAGCAGTAATCTAGAAACTGATCGCCGAGGCTGTTTGGCATGTGACTGATGAGCCGACTTCCATCTTTGGCGACAAACTTCAAAACAAACGTTCCATTCTGATGCTGGAGTAAGACAAGCAACCATTAAATTTTAGAAATAACTTGTCACAATCATTCGACAGGAAGTTGCTCTCGATAGATGGTTGAACCAATTCCCCGTCCCGATCTGTGATACCGATTCGGGTACCTCAGCCAATCCTCACTGTCCGAGGCCGGAGAGGGAATGCGAGCGAATCTACCAGACAAAGCAGGATAATTCTGATCGAACTAGAGGAATCTCTAATGAGGTTCGAAAACGTCAAACCCAGGTCCGCTTCAACGCTTACCGCCCAGTCGCCGGTCCCGGCCCTAGTAGCCCATTTTCTGCGGCCCGTTCATCACGCTTTTCGCCGTTGGTTTCGCGCCTTCCATTGCCGCACGCCCCGCGGCAGCGGCCCCTAGCCCCGCGGCCGCGCTGAGAACCGCGCCCCCCGCGCGCGCAGCCGCCTCCATAAAGTCCACGGAGACTTCGTACGTGTATTCGTTCGCGGCAACGACCGCGCACGCGGCCGCGACGGCCGCTTTCGCCGGCAGGCTTACGAGATTTGTCACCAGGCCATAGAGCCCGCGGCCGCCCACCGCGCCGAGGGGTTTGGAGGGCATGAGGGTTTTGAACGGCGGAAGCAGGAGGTCTTCTTCGAAGCCCAAAGCTTGAGGGGAGGTCCCGGCCTGCGGAAAAGCAGGTGTCAATTTGGAGGCGAACGGACCAAAAAGCGAAGGAATGACGGGGGATGTCAGAGTAAATCGATTTGAGCGGGCAAGAGAGACGGATGAAATTTCCATCTAATCTTTCTAGCGAGGCAAGGCGCGTGAAGCGCTCTCTTTGGGGCTCTGAGGGGCCCGTCGATAAGCATTGGGGTCGGAAGCAAAGATGGCTCTTCAGTATTTGTCGAGCGTCCTGTATGCTGGCATTAAGCAAATGAGAATCAAGCTTATTATACGAATGTTGCAGGAAAAAAAGCAATCACTTAATTAACAGAACCAAGAAAACGATCCACCGCTAGCCTTCGCCTGGATAAAGAGCAGTGCTCTCTAGACTTCTCGACAGATTCTCCTGACAGTACGGGTCCTTTGACTAGAAATGCAAGCCTGTTGCGTACCAATATCAAAGCTGTTGTGAGAGTGCCCGACTAAATTCCACGAACTTTGGTCAGTAAGGAACGAAGTACGGTTGAGAAGTCACTTACTTTCTGGGCGTACATGTACGTGAGATCTTGCAGGTCGGCCAGCGTCTTCTCCGCGCACGTAAACGCGCACTTTGCGTTGCGTAGTGCCACGTGGATGGTTGCAGTCGCCCTCTCGTCCACCGGCAGTTCCGCCCGCCGGCCAACGGACGGCTTCTGCAGCAGCGGAAGCCGGATTAGCCGTCAACCGACAGATCCGGATTGCTGTGTTGCTGGAAGAATGACCAAGCCAAGCGGTGGTTGAATTGCTTTGCAGCTCAACGCAACCTTCAATTGGGCGCGATCCCCTGAAAGGAATAATTTTTGTGTGCACTCACCATTTTCTCTCCCCGGATTTCGCTCCGGCACTCGGTGCACTGCATGTCCCCTTGAATGTCATCTTCGACTAACCGATGGGTCTGAGACTCACTTCTGGTGTCCTGCAAAATGGGTTGGTTGTGATGGTTCTATTGCCTCCAAGCTGGTGAAGGAGCAGAAGTCACCACTAAAACGCATTGGCTCAAATCTTCTCAATCGGGGTTCTGTACAGTTCTGAAAACAGACGCAATCCAATCAAATCAACGTGTAATAATCTCCTTCCTCAAGTGCTGGACCAGAATAGCATTCCGTTTAGATACATGACTTATCCATTCGCATTACAAGACAACCTACTTACCAGATAGTCCCTCGATAAAGTACAATCTAAAAGGAAACCACGAAGTCTGTGGGAAAATAGTCTGTGGGAAAATAGTCGTACCATTTGTCTGAGAAACTCCTGTAACTGCTGCTCCTCGGTCTGTGATTGCTCTTCCTCTCGCGCATGCTCTTGCTGATTCTCGATCAGCTCATCGGTCCCCTCTAGCATCGCCTCTGCTTCAGTCTTCTCGGGCAGCAGCTGACCGAAGCGGCCCTCGCTTTCTTCCCCCATGCTTGTCGCGTGCGAGGAATTCGTTGCTCTTGTCTCGTCAGCCTGTTGAAAATGCAAATGGACACGAGGTTTCGCATCACTTTCAACTTAGAAGAACAGCAGAGTTCTTTCAAGTGAAGTAGCAAAAAAAACTGCCGTATCCTTCTTCCAACGCTTCAGGAACAGCCCTCATGTGACGCAGTTCTTGAAGACTTTGTTAAAGAAAAGATAGACAGACAACCTGCATTGCGATGCCATGCAATCAAGGTAGATGTCTTCATACATTTCTATGTTCTCTTGACATAACTCCTCTTGGAAAGGATCATAGCAGGCCAGCAATCACATTTGAGTCTAGTGCCTCCCTCAGGCTTCTTGCCAAGTGTGAGAACCCTCTTCTTACAGCATTTTCTCCTCGATGTCCAAATTCTCTTTCCAAAAACTCCATGCACCCGATAGATTTAAAGACTCATGGGAACTCCATAATCCACCGACCACGAGTTTGTTCTGTTGCAGTCTCACCTTCTGTCTTTGAACCCCTTCTTGCTGCTCGTCTTGCGCTTGCTGCTTCTCTCGCCAGCGCTGCTCATCCCAGCTTCTTTCATCAGAACCGCCCCTCTCCTCTGCTTCTTTCTGCTGCTGTTCGTGATTTGAATGCTCTTTCAGTCCCGGTGCTATCTGAGCCGGCAGCAGCTCAGACAGCAGCCCCGGCAGCAGCTTTAGACCCCCTTCCTTCTGCTCCGCCATATTCTGCGCGCGCGCAGATTTTGCTGTTGCTTTTGATGGACCGTTCAGAAAAGATTGCGCAGCCTTGAGGCGAAGAGGGCGGAATAGCGGGGCCTTGTGCTCGTGAACCAGTTCACCTCGCAAAAATGGTTTCGGTTTCAAGTTCGTTCAAGAAAGCTTAGGGCTAGGACGCCTGAGGCCCAGAATGCAAAACAGCGAGGCCTTGGTGAACCATGGATCACCTGAGCGGGGTCATTGGTCAGCTCGTTAGGAGCTTGGAATTATTGAATGAACAAACTCGGGGGACTTGACGAAGGGGCAAAACAAGGCTGAAGACCCAGCACAGCCGCGCGGCCCTTCAATCGGTGGACGGTCATGAATATCCAAGCTCGCAAGATCAGGGGGTGGTCAATTGGATCACACTCATGCATGTGGCCGGAAAATATCGCAATCACGTCAGGATGGCATGCACAATGCACACAATAGTGCATCGATCATTCTGTAGGATGATTTCACTCTCAGTGTGGCCAGGCCTTATTAAATTGCGTACAGCTAGGTGAATGCATATCAACCCAAAGTCAAAGACGGTGCGCGCATGTGCACACCAATACGTGCTAAGCATTGTTTCACGGCACGATTTATGTCTTTCGCGGCCGCCATGCACAACAACGTGATCGGACAGCAATATGCCAGTTGCGGGCCCGTGCAGTGGCCAATGATGGTGCTGGCGGCACGTGATCAAAGATAATTACACCAGTTGGGGCGCCGTATACATCTTTCTAAGCTTGCAAACCGAAACCGCAGTATCCAATGACTATCGCGAACATTGATTGCACAAGTTCTCGATCACTGCTCTTGCGACTCAAACCTAAGCGGGCCGCCAACCTTTGAAAATGCGTAAGAGCTTAATATCAAGCAAGTTATAATGATGAGGAGACCAATGGTTTGCCCCGATGGTTCGACCCTGCACACCCCAATGGGTCGACCCTGCACAAGTTGCTAGCATGATCGATCTGTGCGCATCATTGGTTTTGGTCGATGTTAAGAAACAATCGACATCGGCACAATCGCAGGCCTGTAAAGCGGAAATCAGCGCCTTTAAATTGACAATCCAAGAATCCCCGCAGGCGCCTCTTATTTTCCAAACCGTTGTTAGATAACCGGTGCTCTTTGCATATGGTGACCCGAGCCTTTGGCGAGAGTGTTTATTGCGCAGATCCGGCTAATAATTTCATTATACAATTAGATGGGACCCGAAGACTGCGAGATAGATGAGAGAGGCGGCGATCGTCACAAAACGTCCTAATCCCCGTCACCGAACACGTCAAACCAACTGCCTCCGCCGTCGTCGCTGCCCCCCCAACCGGCACCCTCGTTGACGTCATCCGGGACGTCATCCCAGCTATCGTCAGCAGATTCTTCCGCAAAGATTCCCTCGGGCGGCGCGTCCCGGGACAACCATTCGCTGGCGTCATCGGGCGCGGGCGGAGCCGTGTCGGAGGCAGAGCTTGCAGGGTCAGCGGACGAAGCGGCCACATCTGCTTGGAGACGATAGTGTCAGTTCGCTGCTCCTTTTGCTGTCTTGTTTCTTGAGCGCGACATATTGGCATTACAACTCGGGAACAGTACCGCATCAATTGAATCTTACCTGGTTAGAATCAAATTTCATGGCCACCTGGTCAAGCGGGCTCCAAAACATTGGACCGAGGGCCATCCTGGTGACACCCAATTCGTGCAGACGGAGACAAGAGAAGGAGACAAGGGACTCATTCAAATGCAACCGATGCAAGCACGGAGGCAATCGAGGGACTCTGCTTTTCGTGAGATAGCAGTTGGCACTCGAGATTCCCCCAGCTTGACGTATCTTCGTCCAGGAGAACAGACTTTTTGGCCGCTGACAAGGGTAAGGCTCCCGTGTAAAACCCGAGCCCACGATAAGCTGCGATATCATCGTTTTAAGAAAGAGCTTGGTTTTACAACTTCAAAGTCTTAGATACAGCGATGGGCGGCTTCCAAAAGTTATATCCACAATGCGTGGGACGACGAATAAAAAGCAACGGCATTGAACAGGAGATGAAAGCGGGACTGAACAAGATAACGACGGGGCAGAACGGCAGCAACCGGGAGCCCTCAACATGAATTGGAGAAAAGAAGGCGCCAAAAGCATACCTCCCTCCCCGCCCATCCCTCGCTGCATGGCTTCCGCCATCGCCGTTCCGGCCACCATTCCGCCGATTCCGCCGCCAGCATCGTCACTCGGTCGAAAGTCTGGCGGAGCAGCTGTTCCACTCGGAACGGGAGCGGATGAATCCGGAACGGACTCCTCGGTTCGCGAGTCGGAGGCCTCAGATCCAAAGAAGGGGAATGGAAAAAAACCGCCCGCGCCGCTGAGAAGATGGAGAGTGGTCGGGTTAGCAGCGATACAAGCTCTCAAACAAAGTACGTAAGGATTCCGTCCAAGGATCAAAGGTCAAGGACCAAAAATCCTGGATCAGAGATCCAAGGATCAAAGATCCTGGGAAGACGTGTTACGAAATCTCAATCCTTTTGGACCGCACGTCAACGAGGTGTGTCGCTCGCGTCATCAAGATACCATTGCGACTTGAATGTTTCAGAAGCAGCCAATAGCTCCCCTCCCTTCACGGCATTCAGAAGCTTCATTGAAGCAGAAAGCTGACAAGAGTCGAACCCCCGTTGCAAATCCGAGAACATTGAGATATTACCCAAGCCAGGCAGAGAGCTATTCTCGGTGGAGCATCGGACTCATTGATTTCCGTCACAGGCAGCCTCCACACTTCACTGATCCAACTTAGCTGCGGTGACCCACCCGCTGTGCCGCGAGAAATAGTCGTTGTCAAGGGAGACGGCCAGGGCCAGAATCACTGCGCGCTCGGACAGCGACAACTGCCCGGACACGTCCGGCGTCTCAGGCTGCAGCAGGGAGAGCCGTCCGATGAGACACATGACCAATAGATGGACATGTCATATGGAGGCCACTTTCGAGCAGCTTTTTGGCCAATGTGTGGTATGCAAGTACTTGTGGCCTTCGTATTAGGCAGCTTTTACTGAAGTACAAGAACACTGGCTGCAGCCATTAATGATCCTCAGCCAAGCTCTTTACGTGCTCCGCACCGCAACCCCTTCCAAATCTCAAACCAACCCCGAGCGAGATGCCTTACAACCCAAAAGCTAGTCCAATGAAAGCGAAAATCACCAGGTACTCGATATTACTGCTGCTGACTCCTAGCAAACCACCTTCGCGTGACAGACTGAACCCGTCGGAAGCCAGACTCGTTAAGAAGTATCTGACAATGCACCACCAAGAACACTTGAACGATAACATCAGACCCCACCGAAGCACGGCCGATTTGGCGAGCCCAACCTCCTTCCAGAATGTACGATGTCCCATTCAAATCTTTCACCGAGCAGGCGTCAGTCCCTCAATACATACTCAAATGGAAAACGCAAAGCAGTGAGCAAAAGCCGAGGCAAGGAAACCCTTCCCGCCCAATGTACTTAGTCGCTGCTTACCTGGTCGGTGGCGGGCCCTGTTTGCTGCAGCGGCAGGCCGTGCTGCGCGAGACTCTCGAGCTGCGGCCGGCCCTCTTTTCCCGTGGCGTCGCCGAACCGGACGCAGTACTGCCCGGCGTCCGTCATCAGCTGCACGGACGAAAAGAGCGGTCGACAATGGAGCCAGCAGACTTGAGGAACTACTACTTGAGGAGCTACTACTTGAGGAACCTACGACTATTTGGCGACCGAGGAAAGAGAAGGTTCGGAGACGGGTAGGCTGGCTGAGCGCTGAGGTGGGCGAGGGCACAGCGCGTCTATACTGGGCCGAGTGCTTGCATTGTCGGACGTGGGCTCTCGAAGATCTTGAGTTGATTGGCTTTTGACTGAGATTGAGTTTACCGAGATCACATCAGCAAGGCCGTTTACTTCCGATTCAATAGACCCGCTCAGTCAAGAAAAAGGGACCAGCGAAGAAAAGGATATTATGAGTGACGAGTACTACTATGTAACTAGCGGGGGCTGTTTAAATTGATCAGCCATTGCCAGGGCCCCGGATAGCAACTTTTAGATCTTAAACTCTCTCAAATTGCGCATCCCACAACCCGGTTCTTCTCTACATCCAGTGGGGCAGCAGGCACTAGTCAAGGAAAGAACAACAGAGGCGGAAAGAAGAAGACGTACAAAACCGTTTACCTTTTGATGAGAAGAAAACGGAGGCAACAGTGAGACGTTCAGGCACTAGAGACGCAGGCCTTACTTGCAACCGAAAATCGCTTCGACACATGGAACAGCTGAGAAGGATTCGCAAAGCGCCCCTCACCTCAAAACCGAAGCCCCGCCAGTTCCTGTCGATAACGGCCATGTTCTCCCCGTTCTCGCCCTTCACTTCAAAGGTCCACCACCAGAAGCCCCAGTTATTGACCTCGCCAAACTGGCGGTTCCTGTGATTACAGATGCACAACTTAGTTCCTTGAAAGGTGCGCGTTCAGTCACTGCTGCGAAATGGCCTGTCGGGTTCCTCCTCTTGCCCAAGGAATATAAACGAGAGACTTGAAGAGAACGGAAGAGAGAAGATTGACTGTGAAATTATGCTGCCTGCGATAGCGAACTTCCGAGGGGAGGGCTTGAAGGCCTCGTACTGCCACGAAGTGATAGAAGACACATTATGGAGAATGGTGCGCTTTGGCAATCGCTTATGTCAGTTATGAAACGCTTGGACGACTTTTGGTACGGAAAAGTAAGTGGAACCAAATCTGCGCCGGATGATGGCTGAAGGAACGTAACGGTGGCTATCCCGGCAAGGTTTAATTCAAGCTCAGCCTTCGCACGGACGAGAACCTTTCTCGAATATTAAGCAGGGTGCCTCCCCAACACTTTGATGAGCAAGATCAAACCTCGCCCGACGAAATCGATCGGAACAACAAGAGAATACTCAGACTGGGTTGCACCAACTCCGCCAGTACGTTCGCCATGTTCGCGAGACTATACTGGAGAGAGTCGAGCCTCACCCGACGTAAGAGTCGTAGTTTCGCTTCCAGAGGTGCCACCGGCGGTGCGCTTCGCCTATCTTTTCTCCGCTTGGGGTCTCGACGGTAATCGTGCTATTGAGGAAGAAGATGGGCCGCTTGATCTGTTGGACAATTCATGGGGCGCGTCAGCAATCATTTGGAACGGTGTGCGAACACGTGCAGTCAGCGTTTACGTAAAAGGAGACGGGTGCGTCTTCGGACCCTGCGATGCTACTTTCGTGAGTGAAAAACGGGCAGGATTTCTTTGTTCCTTTCCGGCAGTTGCCCTGAGTAGACGCTTCGAGCGTCGGCCATCGACTGTCGATCATAACTACGGTTCCTCGGCGAGATGCAAAAAGGAAGGGCGTTGTGGAATTGAGAACGTAAAAGTGGCAGGCGGACGAGAGGCGAGAAAGCGGATCAGGAGCACCTTGCTGCTTTTTAACCGGACGTTGCGAACACCTAATCCGGATCCTTTCTGCAGTCAATATGTTCACTGACAGGTTTTCAAGACGGGCGAGAGTAGCGAATCCTGGACCTGTCACGCTCATTTTACCCGCTTGTCAAAGAAGCCAGGCATTAGAAGGTTGGCAGCTGACCTTGATAATTTCACGGCCCTGAGCGTCGAGCACCGATGCAGTGAACGGCCGCCTCGAGCGAAGAAGCTGCAGAGAAACAAGTCTCGATCACCATTAATTCGTTACTACATATTCCGGTCACCAGATTGAGAGCCTTCTGGAGGCACAACCATTTCGGTGTATATTTTATAGAGTGCTGTGTGAGCGAAAAGCAGGGACAAGATAGGCCAAAAAAATGCTCTTTCGAAGCTTTGCATCTGAATCAAGCAACGCCGATCCTTGAAGGGCTTTTTACTTCTTCGCAACGGTCGGCTGATCGGCAATAGTTGGGAGATACGAGAAGAAGACGCCTTACCTGCCGTAAAATCGGATTGCTTTCTTCCACCACGAAACCGACTGGCTGCACAGGTGAGAAGGCCATTCTGAATTGGAACTCGGAAAAGTTTTTATCATCTCCAGGAAATGACTACTACTACTCGTTCCAAAATGCAGAATAGATTCCGATTCGTGAGCAATGTGGTACGTAAACGTTGACGTGAAAGTGCAAAGTCATAAATGATTAGTCAGTGTCTGGTACGGCAAAGATAACGAGCTTAACAGTGCGAAAGCACTTTCGGAAGCATAATGAGGAAAGATGCCGTGAGCATAGCGCTTCAGGAAAAGACCCCTTGTCCGAGTTTGATAATATATGAAACGTACCGTATCTGGTTGATAAGGATCCACGATTGTGTACTTGTTTTGCTGCAAGATGAGAGAGGGGCTGGAACGGTCAGTAATCCCAATTGAGGTCGAATTCGATAGCGAGAAAGCTTTCCCTCCTGACCGTCCTCAAATGTCCAGCAACAGGGACACACACAAAAACACCCAAATGGAACAACCAATGTAACAAAACAGAGCCTGTTCTGACGTGCGAGCGACCGACATTGCCTACTGCATATTCCGTGAAACTGACTGCCAACCTTGGACATACACAATTTATCAAGCGTCGAACAGATTTTCAAAGAGGTAGAATCAAAGTTTTGTATGATCATCACCTGCTCAAACCCAATTAGAAGGTTGGCCCACTCCACTTTCCTCGTCATGATGAGGTCAGAACGGGCGAGCACAGAAGCGAACGCAGCCTGCACGCGGAAAATCAATCTCAATAAGCACAGCTTATGTCCTAAGGAAGTCTGAAGGTTGCGACCATGATCTATTGGACAGTCTCGTGTTGCCTGAGCTGCTCAGGTTTTCAAAAGGAGAGGGTCTATTCCAGTCTAAAATGTTGGACGACACAAACAATCTATGAAGCTGAATCGATACTGCAACTGGAGAGATGAGTTTCAGTGGTTGATCCAATCCCTCAGTAACATGAACAAGGCCCCTACTTCGATATCGAAAGCCCTGCAAACCCCACGCGGGGGCTTCTGCTGACAAACAGACAGCTCAGAAGTCCGTAATGAGGCCCTCACCTCTTCCGCCGACTTTGGCCTCAGAGCCCCCACGAGCGGCTGCGTCGGCGGCGGAACTTGCGGCATCATGCTTGGATCCACATGTGCTTCTTGTGCTCCCACTTCCTCATACTCTGCCGGGTAAGCCTGCGCCTGCCTCCGCTCCCTGTCTGCCCTGGCAATCACCCGCTTCTGCCAGCGCACCGCACTGTCTTCTTGCATGGCATTAGCGGCCGAGGCACTGCTGTGGAAAGTTCTGAAAGCATTGCTGCTGAGGCTTTGAGGGGACATCGAGCTGTGCATTGAACCATGGCGCGGTAAGTCAAAGGGAAGCTGCTTCGGGCCTTCGGCTTCAGCAGCCTGGAAGTCGGGCTTTGGGGATGACTTGGGAAAGCTCAGATGTTCAGGGCGGGTGACTTCTTGAGGAACAGATGCAGCCAGTGATGCCTGCCAGGCAAAAGAGAAGAAAGTTGTCAACATAACTGAAATTGATGACTTTGCAATCTTAAGTGTAGTGGTATGAGATCACAAAGCCTGGGCTGCCCAAGCTTGTAGGTCTGCTTATGGAGCCATCGCTCGATTTACTGCGGCCTTCTTTTCGCAGCTGAATGAAGTAAGAGTTTCGTAACGACAATTGGCGCCATGATTTGAGCATTGAAAGAAAGGAATTTGCAAACACAAATCACAAGCAGGCGGGCTGCCATGGGCCTAGCAGGACTTCCATAAGATTGATGAGTATGTGAAAGAACTGGCACACACGTCAAGTGATCAGGCGACGCGACACCAGTATGCAGGCAAGTGCATTTACTTTTAGCTTCTTTGTCATGCATGTGATGTGATGCTTCTGAAAAAACGGCCTTTCCCTGTTTCACCTGACTACACTTCAAATGAGACATTTGCAAGCCAAGCCAACCACATATGCTTCCTTGACTTACATTGACAAGGTGGCGCTGCGGTCCAAACGGTCCATGCCTGGCAAGCCAAGCGACTTCTCTGCTGAGCACCCCGCTTGCCTTGAGGGAATCTTTTGGCAGTTTGAGTCTCCCCCCGCTTAATAAGAATCTCAAAGCCATTGCCTCCGTCTGATTCCACGTTGAATTGTCTGTTTGTCCTCAACAATCGCAGCAACTTCCAAGCTTCCTAAAGTCTCCCCACTGATTCGATGGCAAACGTTGACGCCCAGCGTAGTGCCAGCTCCTTGCTTTCACCTTCTCAACACGAACGGCTTGAAGCGTCTTTTGAAGTCAGCTTGCAAGCTGGAAGCCTAAGGAGAGAGCTCTTTTTGATTGGACCAGATGCAGACAAGCGAGGTAGTGAAGGCATAGCCCTTCGGGAAATAAGGCACCTCAAATATGAAACCGGCTCTTCCTGACCGAGATGCGCGGACGCTGCTGCCGATTCTAAACAAGGGGTCCTAACTGAATGCTGCATATCCGATCAGAATTAGGCGAAAAGACGGCTTATTTGTTGCTTGATGTGGAAGCAGAGGCAAGCAGACTAGGGAGGGAGGAGAGCTGTTGCAGCTGGTTGCAGCTGCTACTATCAAGCTGATTGGAGTCTTGGTGAGAACTGAGGCGCTATTAAAAATTCGAATCGGTTGCTGCCACCATTTGGAATTGAACTGTCTGCGTCTGCGCATCCTGACGACCAGCGCACCCCAGCATATACAGGTCCAGCTAGGATTCTTGAACTTGTGCTGCATCGGGCCAATTCGCCTCAACATGCTCAACTCCGGGACAATCCGCGCTGCCGGAGAACTCAAGCGGCAATTCTCATCTGCAGCGGCAAAAGGACGGCTTGCAGGCAAAGTTGCGCTGATCACTGGTGGAGGGGGGTAAGTCATTGACCACTCTCTCTTTGCATCGTATGGCAATTTGAAAGCCCAACTCACTGCCAGCACCATTTTGTCCCGGTTGACTTTAGTTGTTTCTTTGTATCAGTTGTGCACAAGCTGCCAGCGATTGCATTGATGTTGGAAAGGTTGATGGTATCAAGGCCTTTTTCAATGCCTGTTCGTTGATCCTGTCCTTTCGTTGACGTTTTGTGGTGTTGCAAAGGGTCTTGTCAGGTGATGGGATGCGGATTTTTGTTGCGGGTGAAGCTTCAGGCGCAGAGAGATTCCTACCTTCGATTATGTTTCTAACTTGTTCAATGCTTTGTCAAGAACACAAGTCTTTTTCGGCATTGGAATTGATTTCTCGCCATTTGACCTCAAAGCGAAGGCGTCACGCTCTCAATTGCACAGTCCTTGTTCATTTCTGTTCTCCCAGGGGCATTGGAGCAGAGAGCTCCAGGTTGTTTGCCAATGAAGGCGCTTCCGTGGTCGTTGCTGACCTGAACGAGGAGGCGGCGGAGCGGGTCGCTCAGGAGATACGCGATGGGGGAGGGAATGCAGTTTCGGTAGGGGGCAATGTTTCCAATGCGGACCATATGAAAAGGATGGTCAGCCGAGCGAAGGTGGGTCAAGCCTTTCAATTGAACCGCTGGTGTAAGATTGAGGATTCCTATTTGCTGATCCAAACCAACATCAGCTTCCGCTCTGTGGATTGACGACTTTCTGTGTAACTGTAGTTGGACAGAAACTTTTTGATAGTCGTGTGTTAAGAAATCAGGTGCGGAGGTCGACGTTAATGTGGGTTTTGAAAGCTGCTTCCAAGTTGCTCTGGGACTCTGCTGAGAAAGTTACACAAACTTTGACGCCTGCCTGAGATATTCCCTCCGCTTCTGGTCCGATGATGTCTTTGGGCATGTTTCTTTTCTAGGGACTCTGAAAAGGGGTGAGAAGCAGCTTAACTTTTCTACAGAGACACTGAGCACGAGTTAAGTGATCGGCATTCAAGACGGCTTTCAAGACTTTCTTTGGATGTGTCTGTATCAAGTTCAGGAGTCCAGGGTCTTTCAACAGCCATTTTTCTCTGAGTCTTCGTAAAATCCCCAAGGAGACGGGGCTTGAAAGGCCATGGAAAGAAACACAATACACAAAACGAACAGAACGGCTGACAACGCCTCCTGCTTGCAGGAAAAGTTTGGCGGGTTGCACGTCCTCTTCAACAACGCAGGAATCATGATGAGCAATGACGACGATGCGGTCCACACCACAGAGGATGTCATTGACACTACGTTGGCGGTGAATGTGAAGGTGAGCCTGGAACTTACAATCATGTACAGGAACTGAGTTAGGCAGACTCTTGGCTGGCTAGCTGAGTAAGATTTCGTTGTAAGTTATAGACCCCAGACATTCGAGGCGCCATTTGAAGTCGGTGCTTCGGCACCCAGAAAGGCCGGCTGAATCTTGAGCTCTGGTTTGTCGTTCCTGGTCTTGTTCTGATCCTCATTCTGATCCGACGCTCCTGTGGGCGTGAACAGGACCGTAGACTAGGCTCTTTTTCATTCATGCTACAAAACGCCCGGCACCCCTTCTCGTGCTGAACGAAACCGTCCAGGCGGTGTCTCTCCGCATCAGAAGCTGCCCACTTTTGTCCCCCAATCTTCCCTATCAGCCTAACCTCAACTGCTCAACTGTGGAGTCTGAGCTTCAAATATCGTCGCAGCTCTACGCCTGTCAGCGAGTGCACCCCTTTGTACGGACCGAGGACGGTTTCGAAGCCTCCCCTTTCACTTCGATCTCAACAGGATGGAAACCTGCTTCGCACCCCTCTGAAGTCATCAGACGAGATTGACGGGTTCTGTTGTCGACATGCTCCGACAAAGTCTGGCGGGCTGATTGAAAAATAGAATCGTGTTGCAGGGAGTGCTTTTAGGATGTCGATACGGTATCCCTGCCATTAAGAACTCAGGAGGCGGGGCCATTGTGAACACGGCCTCCTTCGTCGCATTCATGGGCGCAGCCACGCCGCAGGTAAGCAGTCTTGCTTACTTCTTCGTACCTTTCGTTTTCTTTGGACCGTTGCAACCATGTTCACGTCGGTAGAAGGAGTTGAAAGAGAAAGGCGCTGCTGACTGGAGCGAAACCGTAAGCCACGGCGAATTCCCGGATTGGAGAAGTTTAGGTGCTTGAGAATGTCTGCTTCCGACCGTATATGCCTGACACAACAACTGGAGAGGGAACCCAGTCTCCCGGCCGACCCTCGCGAAACCCCTTGGTTGTAAGTTCAAGGGATGGACTGTAGACGTCACGAAAAGACTTTTTTGGACCATTAATTTCAAGATTTGTAAACGACAGGTGTCCCTGAACGTCGGCCAGGAGTCTGCAGTTACCTTCCATCTATTTTGACACAACCCTTGCTTCATGTATTCCTGACCAAGTAAATACTCGAACGGGGCTTGCAGTTCGAACCACCACAACTTATGACTCTCCGAAGGCCCAAGCAGGCAACGCCGCAGGACCATCGAGGGTCCTCATCTCGACACTGCGAAACTGCCTGCTCGCAAAGCTTCTTTTTCAGCCAAAGATTCAGCCTCCGAAACCGCCCTCCTGAGAACGGCCTTCCGTTTCTCGCAGATAGCCTACACAGCCAGTAAAGGGGCGGTCCTAGCTCTCACTCGAGAACTGGCGGTGATTCACGCCCGGGAAGGAATACGGGTCAACGCACTCTGCCCCGGACCGCTAAGAACGGAGCTCCTCATGAAGGTGGTCGTTGATCGAACGACTCTGTTATGTTGCCTACGTGATGCTTGTGTTACGAAGGATTGCCACGCTCTGCCTTTTGCGAAATTTCCGAGGCTCGTAGAAAGATTCGTTCTTCGAAGACCTTTGCTGGTGCACACGGTTGGGTTTCTACGCAGTGAAAGGTGTTCAAGGCGTTCGTACCTTGCGGTCCCTAAGCAGGATATGAATCGTGGGACTCTACAAAGGCATACTCTCAGATTTGACGATTGCCGTTCCAGGTTTTGTGTTGCTTCTTGTGTTGCTTAACAGCTGAAAGCCCTTGAAATGTTAACCTTCCCGAGAACTTTGGATTTCTTCAGCGGTCGTATCCGTGTCGAACCGTGTTTATTTTGGTGAATGAGGAAGGCTTTTCTAATGACGACTTGCCACTTCTGCGTGCAGTTTCTAGATTCAGAAGCCAAAAGGCAACGACGGTTGATCCACGTGCCCATGGGACGCTTTGGAGAAGCAGCGGAGATGGCAAAAGCAGCGCTGTTTCTCGCGTCAGACGAAAGCTCCTTCATGACCGGCGCAAGCTTGCTTGTAGACGGTGGCCTAACGGCCGCTTATGTGACCCCCGAATAGAACCCTGTATATAACGTGTTTGACTTACACTTTCTCGCAATCTGACGTACCTAATGGTCCGGCTGAGATGCCGTGCTGTTTGGAATCCGCTTGCAATTGATGCACCATGCCACGTGACAATCTATGGTCACTGGGATCAGCCGTTCTGATTGTTTGATCGAGTCCCGCCCCATCCAGAGGGCAAGAGCTTGCGGGAATCTGAACCGCTGTCGGATTGCGCCACCTGCGCCGATACGTGCCAGACACGTGACAATTTCACTCGAAATGGGCTTCAGATGAGAGTTCCCCGAGGTCGGCAAGCACGTTTTCTCCTGACCTCAGCTTGCCGGTATATGTTCAGCTAGATCTCACGTCATCATACCCCTTCTCTTAGGTCATTTGTCTGCGCATCAGCCTGCCGGGCCGACATTTGTCTGGCACTTTTTAAGTAGTCTTTCCAAATCTGCAAAGCTGCAGACTATGGCAGAGCATGGAATTCGCTGTAATAACCATCTTTAAGGGACGATAGAACGCTTTGCAATGCAGTAATTTAAGTATTGTCTGCATATATATGTTTGGGGCATGTGGTGGTTGATTGACGGATATATAGCGCGGGCGCATCTCAAGTTATATGTATAGCCTATATCGTGCAACAACACTCAATTTAGATCGGCTGTTGCGGTACTAAGCTTTCATAGCGAACGGGGATTTGAACGCAATGAAAGCTTCCATGCACAATGGCATGTGTCGAGAGCTATCCATGCAGTCGCCTGGCAACCATGAACAAGCATGTCAAGCGCGTGCCGCCTGGCCTCAAGACAAAGAAAAGGTCCGTCGGAAATATACTCGATGCGTTGAACACGTGCACAGCACAGATGATGCCCGCGCCATCATGTTCAGATCGATGCATGGATGTTACCCGGCCCTGATCAATCTTTTGCAACCTGAAGACTCAAATATGATGCAATTCCAGTTGCAAAAAAAGTTTGTTGCAGTGTGATTCGGCGTTGGATACTTTCAGCCATGCAGACGATTAACTGAGGTTCAAATACAATCTGCGAACATTGTTGCTCAACTTATCCGCGGTCCATGAGATTCACTTCGTAGCCTCGCAAGCTATTAGCATTAGATGGTTCAGCAATTTGTGCACCTCTACCTGCAACGCACGTCTCCTACGTCCTAAGCGGTGCGTGTCGGACACTCTATTCTTCTATCAACCTTCAGTTTCCGAGGATCTTTCTCAATAAGTATACAACACTGACCGTCACTGGTTCCTGACATGAGGACTGTGTAAGTCTGCGTTAGCTCCGTTACCTCCTCTCCAACACGAAGAGCTAGCTGATGCCCAACAGGGACATCTTAACGTACGCACTCACGAAGTCCTCAAAGAATTGGCTTTGATTCTCGGCATACGTGGCTACGATTGAAGCAAACTTCTGGTCATCCATAAGGCACTGGTCAACACCAAACGACCCGCCCCCTTGTAGCAGCATCTGCAGCAAGGAACATAATGACCCTATTAAAAAAGTGCCTCGATCGAAGTTGACTTCGTTTTGCACAGAAAGGTCACTCAAAGAGGCAAAGCTGCTTGCAATGATCAAACACGGAAGCACAGAGAGGCAATAAGCAAGTTCGCAGCTGCATCAAATTTGCGCTCACCTGAAAATAGGCGTTGTCGAAAACCTCAGGAGTTGGGTCCAGCCGTCCCAATGGCTGGAACCCCCGCGAGATTCCCAGGGTGTGGCCTCCTGTTTGAACAAGACAGAAGTATGTCTCTCTACCTTCGAATCTACTGTAACAACTCTGCACGGCAGTGACACTGCATTGACCGTAGCACTCACGACAGCTTCAGGAGCATGATGTTCAACCTTACATTCGTAGTCTCGAGTCTATCCAATCGAGTCTCTCAAAGAATTTATAATCCCTTGTCCGTTGCACAAACACCTTTCTCTCTCAATCATCTAAACACCTCTCTCAATCAACCATCTTTCAGCATCGCTAAAAAAACAGTTTCAAATCCTGCTTACCCATCATTGCCACGAGTTCTGCGGTATCGTAGCCGCTAGCGTTGAAGTAGTCCTGCAAAAGAAACAGGGAAATTGATCCTGGGTATCATCAGGTATTCGTCGTACAACTCATCAGAATCCTGTCCAAGAAAAATGCATCTGGAAAAAGTACAATTCGATTCAATGTAAAAAGTCAAGCACAATCTGGAGACATGAATAGGATCTGAGGATTTGCACCCCTGACCTGGAGCAGAGAGGTGTTCCTCGCTATTCCTGGGAGGTTGCTGACGATGTCAGGGCCTGACGCATCCACCCGCCCAAGCGTGAGAGGAATGGAAGGACCTCCACAGGTTTCGACAGCGAATGCACCACCGAGCTGGATGACGTCAGCGTACGAGATGGAGGGAAGGCCGCTCAGTCTGTTGATGTCTTCACGAGCCGCTTCGACAATTCCGAAACTGCCAAAAATGGGGGTTTAAGGGGGATTCAATTGCTCCAATCAGAGTCCAGATCTTTGCAGCGTAAGTTGTTATATATTGCAAGAATTCCAATCCTGTGTTCTTTACGTGCACTGGACATCCTATCGCAGCAAGAGGGTTGAGCGCAATCTATGAAGCTTGCTTTATAATCTTTTGAGCCGACAGTGTCAATTTAGGATTATTCTGCTCCGCAATTTGTACGAATATCTCTCGGCTTGAGCTTCAGATAGGAGTAGTATCAAAGTGAGAGGTACAGGTTGAACGCATGCAACAAGAAGTACGCCTTAGTACAGGAAAAATGATGATCCAAGCACATGCTGCCGGTTTGTACTGTAAATCATGCATCAAATCTTGGAGCTTTACGAAGTAATCAAGCTATCTGTGGATTCTTGTGCTCGGAGCTGGAATCTTACCCAACCGCCAACGCATTGTTGGGGCTCACTTGAATTTCAAAACGGATTGACCTGAGGAAAGCATGATGATTTTCAGCCGTTTGTCCAGCATTTTCCGACAGATTTTGAAGGATCATGCCACACAAGATACTTGTAGCAAGAGACAACGAAAGAGATGAAGACTTAGTGTCAATTGTGGAAAGGCACCCCAAAAGCGCAGAAGAGGTTGAAAATGATGTAGCAAAAAGAACGACATGCATCGAAGAGTAAGCACATCAGGCTATGCCAGGAAGAGTGCTGCTCACCCATTCGGACCGCATAAGCGACATTTTGTCGGTGAGAAAGTTCCTGCATCTGCAGTAGCACAAATATACACTGTAGTCGCAAGTCCAGCGCTTGAAACAAGCCTGGCAATTGTCCAGGAACTACTTTGATCTTGGGAAGAACAACAATCCAGAGATGATACGCCTTCACCAAAAACTGGTCTCTCAATGCCTTGTGCTTCTTCCTGCAAGAACATACATGAGCAGACTATATGATCCAGCTGAGGTGGACTAACAACGCAATCTAAGAGAGGTGTTATGATACTCATGTCAATTTTCAAAGAGCGCTGACTGTAAGCTGATCATCAGAATCCTCACCATGAAAAGCAAGCCGCAGCATGTTTCCAGCGTTCTTGTTGCACTGGACGTAGTCTTGGAAAACGCTGAAAGCGACCTGTCGCAAGGCATCCTGATCGTCTCTCGGTTGAATCTGACTCAGCATCCTTCTCTCTTCTGGCCCTCCATTCAGCTCCTTCTTCGATGCTTCCCAGGTAGGATCTTGCCGTGCTTCGATGTTGTTCAGGAAAGGAGACAAGGCCACGAAACAGAAGACCACGAAAAGCAGAAACCTGCGGCCCTTCATCTTGGCTCGGCAGGAAAGAGGAGCAGGTCTTCAGATGCGGAATCCAAGAGCTTCAGGATCGGTTCCGCTGAGATAGACGATTGATAAGATAAGGGGGGCAACCAGTAGAAATCAATAGATTCTTGCAAAGCTATCAACTGCTTGCTTTTTCTTGACGTCGTAAGATACGCTTCTTTGAATTAAAAGTAAATACTTCCTTCTCATTTCAGCTCTCCCACCTTATCGTCAGCTGGAGTAAACCTGGCCTTGTAATTTACGAAAGATCGAGGCGCTCTGGTCAGATATCTTAGCGGCAAATGATGCTGAATCCAGGGATAAGAGCTCCGAATGGTACATGTGATTTTAAATAAGCAGCTGACCTTCTATAATTTGTTGAGATTCATGTATTTTGCCGCCAAAATCCTCGCGCTTGGGGACACCTGGTGATGTCACTTGCCTGCATATGCATCGGAGATTCTCGCTTGCAATAGAAAGCATGCATGTGCCATCGGACGCGCCTGTACGCGCGCGCGTGCGCATGCTGTGAACACGTGATGACGTTGTCAAAGCCAAGACGGTTTCAGTCTGACGAAGAGGGCGTGCCACGAGTTTTTAGCGCATAATCTGGAGCGAAACTTGACGAAGCTTTATCACTCCGCTATCCTAGAGCCACACGAGTGGCGAGCAAGTGGAACGGCGCAAAGAAGATTTGGTGATGGAAGCGGCGAAGGCCAGCGAGACTTGAAAGCAAGAAGAGCTGCGTCATTCTGCGTTACGATCCGTGCATGAGGCGGTGTCACGCGCTTCACACCCTCTCGCCGAATTTTCTCGACGCTTCCTGTTAATATGAGCTCATCCTGACTCGATCACTTCACGTCTTGTCTGCTTCAAATTCAAGTCTAGGTGACGCAGGCACGACACTGCTCCGCTTTTGGAGTGCTTCGATCCTAAATTTCAACCTTGCGTTGCTTACCTCTGCAAAGAAGCCAAGCTTCCTGAAAGCGCTTCCGCTCAAGGCCTCTTTGTAACTTCCCCCTTCCCAGCGCCCCCTTCAGCAGCAGCAGCCAGAGTGTTTCCAGCGCCATGGCTCTGAGCACGTTCTTCGCGGGGGGCGGCGACCCCTTCGGTGATGTCTTCGATCCGTTCCGGTTGGTGGCGTTCCGCCCGGACACGGGCGACCAGACTGGCAACAAGCTGTCGGACGACGCGCGCGCCATCGCCAACACCAAGGTCGACTGGATTGGTGGGGAAACAGGCGTTTACATTGAGGCCTTTCGAACGCGACTCTCCTTCATGTGGAATCCTTACAAGCTCGAGATTGTTCTGGAAGAAGCCTAGTGGGATAATCAACTCGTTCGGTTGATGCCGTTGGGCGGCCCGAGCTTTTGGTGCATCTTTTGGCGTTGCTATGCAAAGAGATAACAAATTTCAGCCCTGTTCTTGTGAGAAAGCTTGTCCTATGCCCTCAGATCAGTTGCATGACATAAATTTCTGTGGTGATGAGCCTCAAAATCAGACGAAAATTGTCTGCTTTTTGCGGGTTTAGGCAGTTGCCTTCGTGCATGTTCTCAATAGATGCCCGCTCTGGCGTTGCTCGACCAGTCTTTCCATGCCTCTCAGCTCTACGGGTCTTGCTTGTCTTCTAAAATCCTCTGAGGTCTGAAATAAAACTGAGAAAGTGTCATTGAGCATTGTTCTAAGCTTCATGCTTCAAAACGTACGAGAACGAAAAAGCTTCGGTAAAAGCTCATAAGCGGCTTAGAATGCCGGTTTGAAGAAACTGAAGACACCGTTTGCGTTGCAATGCAGAGAAGCCTGACAAGCACGTGATCCAGGTCGACCTGCCGGGTGAGTGAACGGAAGCACCTTTCAGCATGCATTTGAAAATTCAAAAATCTGAAGGCTGACTTCTCATGCTCGGAGTTTGGGGTCTTCACATGGCTCATATGCGTTCTCCTTGAATTCGAAAGGTTCAAGTATCGGCTTTCTTCCCCTACGGTGCAATGGCGCCTCATCTTCTCCCTCCTTAGTGCATGCTTCGACCAGAAAGTGTCCGAAATGCTTTTCGGAAAGCCGAGCCGTATGCGTAGAGCTCGTATTCTTCAGAAGCTTCCTAAATCTAACGCAACCTGATCTACTGCTTCAACTGCGGTCAACTTGCTTCGCGTCTGTTTCCCATCAGCAGCAGACAGTGTACGTTGTTCGTTACCTGCCAAGACACGTGTCAAAGACTGGGTCTCATTCCGTCCGTTCCGCTGCAGGGGTGGCCCGGAACGACATCAACGTGACGGTGGAGGACAACAACACCCTGGTGATCAGCGGCGAGCGGGTCAAGGAGGACCGCCAGGATGACGACAGAGTGCACCGCTACGAGAGGGTCGTCGGCCGCTTCCTGCGCAGGTTCAGGTCAGTGTTAACCACCGATTTATTGCCTCCTAACCACGTTCTGGAATCGAGCGTAATGTGCAGATTTAGGTGGGGGTTAGCCACCCGGGGGGGTAAGTGCTTCCAATCTGGTGGGATATCTTTGATGGGCAGCTTGGGATTATTCTTTCACTAGGAATGGAGGGATCAACAAGAAACTTCGCGCAAACAGACTTTGCTGCCTGCGTAGCTTCGTATGCGTTCTTACCTGGTGAATCATCCCTGAGAACCGCCCGCAGTCAGCAATCAGAATGACTACGATTGGAGCTCGGCGACGTGTCCCAAGAGGATCGACGCCTCAGTAACAAGACTTCTTCTTTTGTGCATCGAGTCTACCGCTGCTTGCTAGCTCCCCTCTGGCCCTTGCAAAAGCGGATCGATACATTCACCAACCACAAACTGCCTTGCAAAGGATTTGCGCCTTCGAGTCCTTTATTGTGGGGGTTTGACCTTTCTTCCACACTTCTGTTCATGTGGGCGTCCCGGTTGCGATAATGTGAAGAAGATTCGGAGTAGACGACATAAACCTGAGACTTGCTTCCGAGTCTGCCATAAGATATGCTCATGAAGCAGTGCACAGGGGACGGTCCTGCTGACGAGTGCAGTTGTTTTTAAGGACAGCCAGCTCTTCAGATAAGAAAATTGATCGCGCGCGCTTCTGTGCAGGCTCCCTGACAACGCTGACGTCAGCAAGATCACGGCCAAGATGGACCAAGGCGTGCTCAAGATCGAGATCCCGAAGAAGGAGAAGCCCAAGGAGGAGAAGAGGAACGTCCAGATTGACTACGGCAGCGGCAGCGGCGGCGGCGGCGGCACCGGCACCGGCACCACCCACTGAGCGGGGACGAGAACGGGCTTTGTAAATAAAAGGGCTAACAAGAGAGGGCCTCGGGCACAGTGACATGCGACCTTGTAGAAAGTCGAGGACCGAAGTCTCTGATGTTTGGGATTAATACAGTGAAAGCAGCCAATGCTAGTCGAGATTGTAGCTAGTGACGATTTTTCTATCCGAGTCGAGGCGCTGTGCATTTCCGTTTGGAACTCTTCTAGGATGCAATTTCTCGTTTCAACTTCCATTTTGCAAGATCATACAAGCAGGAAGCCTGTAGTCACGTACCTTGACCTTGTTCATGCTCTGCGGAATGATGTCAGTCACTGTAAGGTCGACCATGTATGTTACATTCCAATGATTATGGACGAATCTGGTCCGACTACCAGAGTCTGTTACATACACATACTGGCCCGCACATGTTTAATTTGTGATGCATCATGGTGCTGGCCGCCATGGCAATCACTACCGGCCTAGCTGGACCGTCCGTTTGCACATACCATATGGAAGCTATGTGTGGCCGCGCTAACTCAGCTACAGGCTCAGCTACAGACGGCAGTGACGCGCTGAAGCATGCGACAAATCATCATTGGCATAGATGCAGATGTACCCGTTGACTTGTTGGGCCGCTGCAAACATAATTAGATTTTGGGCGCGGTCGGGCAACGCGCGGAGAGAACGCCAGGCTGAACACATGCGTAGGGCCTCTACTTGGTGAAGACATTATGCATGCGCACGTGCAACAAATCTGTGTTTCTTTCCGGACCCGATCCCCAGCCCGATGGAACGTGTTGTGAGCTCATTACTACGGCTGGCATTTTTGAATTTGGGGCGCAAACAAAGCACAAAAGTGTTTCCATCAGAAGACTTACGGGACGTTATAAGTGTCAACAAGGATGATCCTGCTTCACGTTGGACGTTACACAATTTGCGGTCTTTGCGGCAGCAGCAAGTTGTAGAAGGCGTTTTGTACAAAAATGCCGTTTGCCCCGCCGCGCTTCCACCCGATCCATTGACCGCTTTGAATGGCCTTGAGGCTCTCTCCTCCGGTGTAATGGGGGTCCAGGATCAGAAAGGCGCACTCCCCAGTCAGCTCGTTGTAGTCGATGCCCAGGAGAGTGTACGCAAGCACGCCGCCACCTGCAACAGATTCAGGTTCCGATAAAGTGGACTTTCTTGGACTCTATAGCGCAAGAAGTGATCTGGGGGAAGAATGTCAAGCTCGTGAGGGGAGAGCGCAGGCAGTAGGGATCAGGCGAAGGGGTCCGATGCGAGGCGCTGCGATTTTGCTTGTGAAAATTCATTTGTGGACAGCTCATAATCAACGACAGTTTCTAAACGCACGGCAGACGGCAATCTTCTCCGGTCGATCAACAGCAGCGCTGCACACAAAGAAACCGATGCCCGGTGTCCTACTCGCGTTACTATCCATCTTCCAATTGCGCAAATACACAAGTCGACCCGTTTCCCCGTTCTGTCAAGCATACAGCTGTTCGCGTCATTTTTCCAATTAGATCCAACTTTTTGGAGCACGGTTCTTGATCCTGAGCCGTTCAATGCCTTCCTTATCGACGATCGGATGGTTCAAGGTCAGGAACCACCCGCCGAACAATTGAAACCCGATGGCAGGTTTGACGCAAAGAGCTGTAAATGTCGCGGATTGAAACCCCCACAAGCTCACCGATCATGACGGGTGTTCCCTGGGTGTCAAAGTGGTGTGCCAGCTCCCGAGCTTTGGACGGAAGGTCCGCTCCCGAGCTGACGTTCAGCACCTTGCACGTGACCTGCACACAGCGGAACAGAGGAAACTGAAAAGGAGCGGAAGCACATTGCAGTCACAGTCGGAGTCTCGGCTGTATTGCAAGGGTGCACGGTCATTCGCCCTGGTCAGGCAGGCGACGGGCTGTGATTCGAGGAAGCGGACGTCCAATAGAGCTCTCTCTCTGTAGCGCTTCTCAAGTCTGCCGAAATCCGAAGTCAGCATTGTTTCGGAGAGAAATTGACACTGCGTTTGATCCTTCTAAGTGCAGAAGGGGACAGAGTGGTCAATGTGAAACTGCGTGATTCGTCCGAGGCCTGCGGACAAGGCCTTCGCGACTGGTTTGGAGGCTCAATTCCGTCCACAATCCCCCTGAGCACTACCATTTCGAATGTAATCAACGAGAAGACTTAAAAGACGGGAGAGTTCGAAGAAATGCGCCAATAATTTTGCAGCTCACCCCGAGCAGTGCGTCCAGGATGTAGCCCAGCTCGATGGCGCCAATCCACTGGGAGGAGCCCACGAAAGATGCCTCCTTGTCCTGCAGGTCCACCAGCGTCTGCTGAATGGTCCTGCGAGGGGTAGAACAAAACGGACTCAAAACGCATGTGGAGACCACGCGAAAATGCGCGACGGCATTAAACCACTGCGCAGAGCCCACAAAGGATGCCATTTTATACTGCAGGTCCACGAGCGTCTGCTGTATTGCCCTGCAAGCGGCGGAGAGGAACGAAGCTGAAATCACTGAAATCTACAGGTAAGCATATAAAACGCGTGAAAGAATTGGACTGGGTGTGCCAGGTGTCGGCTCTGCGGCTCGAACTCGTGTTCGGGACTGCAAACTTTCAATTGGTCGATTGCGCAGTAATCTCAATTTGTTCAGAGAAGCCAGAGAAGCCAGATCCGAAGGGACCTTGCTGCTTTTTACCTGTGCGAGGGTACGGGTACGGTGGTATAGTTCTGGAGCCGGAACCACGAGACGATCGTCTGCAGCGAGCGGTAGGCGCAGCCCCAGCCCTGCAAGGAAAAATACGAATGAAGAGGGCTGACGTCATGCTGGCGTCACTGCAAGGCTGCGGCTAGCAGGATCACAGATGAGGTCACAGACCGAGTTCGGAGACCGTGATAAGCACGGAGACATGGTCTGACGCCCGGCACGAAGTAAGCGGGCAAATGACAAAGGCATTTACCGCACTTGGCAGAATAACAGCCTCACACTGGTGGACGCTCTATCTTAGGCCAAACAAATTGAGACAAGGATACACGCGCTTCAGTGCTTCATTGGGTGGGCTTCGTGTAGAACTAAATACAGAACAACAGAGACCCTCAGTGACGCTCTTTTAAAAATGGGGACAGATAATGCTAAACGAAGCTAATGCACGTGAGACGGCTTCACCTTGTCGTCTATTCGGTCCTGCATGTAGTGGTAGTACTCGTAGGAGCCGTGGATGAGGCTCAGCTTGCCGTTGGCGACTGCACGAGGAAACGAATAAAGGGTTTGCCGGCGCCAGTCCAGTCGCTCGGAGCAGCTTGCGCAAAAGCGTGAATGAGAGTGTTCGGATTCTCGCTAAGCTGCTTCAATTGCACCGATCGATACAACCGTCGGGATTCGCGCAGGAAGCGGGACAAGGAGATTTGTCAATGCAGCCACCGCTCGAGGACGGGCTACATCTGAAACCCTTGTATGCTCGCTTCAGAAGCCTCTGCCGGCGCGGAAGTCCGTCCTTCAATGGGTCCGAAAGCGGTCAACAGATTAAAGACTAGATGGACTCTGCGTGCTCGCCAAGATGGAAACCTTCACCTACCCAGAAACGTCTGGACAATGCTTCCCCACTTTTAGAACGATTAGAACGAGCACTAACAAGGAAGCAGAAACAGTCAAGCGGAGTGCCGGACACATCGTCTCAAGAAGGGTACCCACTTCCGGACGGCCGGATGCCGGCGTGGACGTCCAACAGCCTGCCACTTGTGGACGCCTCGGCAGAGCCAGGTTCCGCATCAGCGGACAACAGAGCGTTCGCTGACCTCAGCAACGGGCGGTCCAGAGGCAGTCCCAGTTGGCGGTGGAGGTGCGTCCGAATGCCCACTGCAGAAAGAAGCATCAGTCTTAGGGTTTAGACTACCAGCCTTGTCTTTCTTATCCAAGTTTTGTTATTACGCTTTACCTTTTTGATATTATTTTTTGAATCACCTTGTCTATCTTGCGCCTTTGGCCCAGCGCTTCGGAGGAGGCAGTATTTGCGAACTTGCTTATGTTGAAAGCACAATCAAAAAAGATTTGAGAAGAGTCGTCGCCCGTCGCTCTGAACCAACTTCTCATCTCCTTAGAGCGGCTTCGGCTTCGCATTCGCCTTCAGCGGAAACGGAAGGATAGGCAGCCGATGTGCGATATGCAACCTTCTTCGGGTGGCCGTTCAGGAAAGGACACCCGCTCCCCAATCACAATCAAACACCAAAGCAAGCGGGATAGATAAGAAGTACCGCTGATCAGCAACTCTAGCCTACGCTTACACTCACCCAAGAGCTGCTCTCCCTCGTCTCTGGAGTGCGGGTACAGCGCTGTCACCGGGAATAACACGCCAGGGGGGTGAAACAGGTGCGCAACGACCCCCCGCTTGTGGTCCTGAGCTAGCTGAACGGCATGTTGCAGCTGCTTTTCTAGAGCAGGGACGATTAGCGTTCGGACGGCGTCAGTGAGGTGCATGGCCGCTGGGGCGATGCAAAGAACGTCGAGGGACAGGGGGAGGGGGTAAAGAGTCGTTGGAGACGCAACTGCAAAGATGAAGGGTTAAGACCCAGGTTTGTTACATGGTCAGAAAGAACAACGACTTGGGGAGCAGCGAAAAGCTGCGGAGTCAACAGAAGGGTGCTCTTATTACGCGTGCGCTAGTGAGTACGGGCTTTAAGATGGGTATGAGAGGAAGGCATTTTTTGAAGATCGTCGGATGGGACTGCTATCAAGCACTGACGTGAATGCAGTTTTCCTTGGCGCACTCTTTCTCGAAGAGAGGCATGGAAGGAGACACAAAGAACAAAGTCAAGTACAAGAGTGGTGCTAAAGCCGAGTCCAAAATTTTGAACCCAAAGCAACAGCTTGTCGACCAAGAGTGCATCTTACCAGGCTCAGAGCTGAGGTAGGGAGCTCGAAGCGCGTCACCAGAACAGGATTGCCTTTGCAAGAAGGTGACGCGGATTGGCTTAGGTATCTGCAAGCATCGCCCGCATGTTAGGCCATACAGGAACAGTGACGAAGAAATATTGCGAATCAGAATGCCAGAACCATCTTTTCTGATGAAGCATTCGATGAAGTAGTAGGCGAAAAGAAGTCCAAAAATGATCGCAGAACCCAACTTCATTGAAGCTTGTTGATGCGCAAGCTGAGAAACCCAGGTAGACAGAGCAGCAACACTCCTTGCACGGTTGACACGTCCTCAATTAGTTGCTTCCCAAACTCAGTGGACCACATGTCCAGAAGAAATAGGAGTGCTAGCGCAGATCAGCAGGGCAAGTCGACAGGCAGCTAATAGCTCGCATGTCTTCGTCTCAAGTCTCACGTCGACAACATCGGACGTTTCACCTTTTGTCAGCAACGTTGGAGTTTCGTACCTTCTGGTGCGTTGACGGCTCTGTGGCACCTCCCAGCTCCTCACAAGTCATCTCGTCAAAGTTCTTCTCCCCCTGCGCCTCTGGCACCACCGCCTTCTTCTTCCCCTTGCCCCCCCCTTTCTTCCCACTCGTACTGACCCCCCCAGACGCAAAACCCCTCCCAGTGACACTAGCCTCGTGGTCCCATGGTTGTACCAAAACTGAGCAAGAAGGTTCTTTCGCGCTGTCTACGAGAAAGGCTGCTGACTCCGAACGCAGGTCCTGCATGACTTTCTCTGATGCTGTGTCAATCTCTCGTGGAGTGGGGAAAGCTGGGGAGGTGGTGGGGATCTGGAGAAGGACGGGAAGGCTGCAGCGCAGGGGGACGTGAGCCTCCCACAGGGCGCTCTGGTCGACCGCTTGAACGTCGACTCGCTTCTTCTCAGAATTGGCGATTCGGTCCTGGGTCATCTGCCAAGGGCGTTCTTCATGTTAGAGATACTAAAGAAGCAAGCGAAAGTGTAGATTTAGTGACGGGATTACTGGAAACAGAAACTTCTTTCATGAAAAGCAATGAGGCCGTCTCAGAACACCAGCGCAGTTCTATTAATCCAGAGCATTATTGACCACTGAAAGCTTTTTTGATTGTTTTTGCATCATTGTTTCCAAAGAGCACAGTGGGAGAACTTACAGGAGGTGCCAAGAAGTACTGCGGCTGGCCATTCCCCTCGCCCAAGCATGCCAGTATTGCTGGCGTGTCCGTAATGCTCTGACGTGAAGTAGTGGCAGAAAGCAGGCTGCAGGCCTTTGCCATTTGTCCGTCTGGCTCAGTCCAGAATGCTCCCACTGCTTGAAAGCCTTCAGGCACCGTATCAAGGAGCCGGGCTGCAGGACAGGAGTTACTTTGTTGAATCACAGGAATACATCATGAACTGGCTGCATTGCAGCGAAGCCGCTTGCTATCTCACTGGCTTGATTGCGCTCACCACAAAAGTCCATGCCTGACTGATCTAGATACACTTGTGATTGAACGGTTGAAAATGGTTGTGCTGAATGGACAGGCCCTCGGCAGATCACAGCGAAGATTGCTGAGGCTACTGGGGCTAAAGTGTTTGAGTGATGCAGGCAGATGTATATGTCCTCTGGGGTTCGTAATCAGCCATAACTGCCAGATCTATGCAGAGCAGAAGGAACTTGACTTACATCTGTCTTCTCAAACTTTAACCAGGAACCAGATTAAGAGTATCTCATCTTTTTATGCCCTTGGATTCGCTAATGATGCAAAGAGTTGTGACCACTTTGTTTTCATTGGCAGCCTTTTTAGCGAGCAATGCTGCAAAGGGGCAAAGTGCTGATTGTGGCACACCCGTACGGCGTAACCACCACTTAAAATCCGAAGAGAATTCGCAGTCATGAACCACCTTAGCATCTCACCTGCATCATTCTGCAGGTTGGAAAAATCCTCCTCCACTGCTCGGAGCGCACCAGCAATCAGCAACGATGATGAGGCACTAGCAATATCTGCAGGTGGGGGGCAAGCAATCCCCACAAGCAAGCCATGAGCAATTGGCTCCCTGGCAAGGAAAGACAGCTGCTGCTCGGCGCCCTCAAGAACCTTGAGCTGCGGCTCCATGTCGCCCCAATGCTTCTGAACGACTGAACGCAGACTGCACGCTGGTCTACTTGTGTGCATTTTTCATGCAAACTGGCAACAAATTCGACCAGAAATTGCAAATGCATACGCGCTTATACTTGTTGGTCAGTATCCTCGGCAGGAGCTCCGGGTGAAATGCAGCCCAGTGCGGAGTATCTCGTCGGCCTCCATTGTACCTTGTTAAATATAGAACTGTTACATCGATAGGAGTGTGCTCAGTTGAAGCAATCTGCCCGGAGACTTCTATCCGGGCAAAGCCAGGGCTGAGCCAAGCGCCAGTATATGCAAAACATATATGTTGAATATGTCTCAGGTAGTGCTATTGTGTCGGGGGAATATCAGCAAGGCATTCAGCCAGCCATGGAAGGACAATCCTCAAGACTGAAGAGAGCTCAGTTGTGAGGCGCAAGGTGCAACTGCAACCTCACGCAGAAGAAGCAGCTGGCTTCCACTTAGGTTTGAAGTGTTACGGCCTGTACCTTTGCGGAGGTCCTTACAACTTTTTCGCCCACGCTTGTGGAGGCTTTGCGGTTCCGTGTTTTGCTAGATTTCCAGGGCACCATGATCAACCTTTTTTCTCTCAAGAAAAAGCAAGAAGCTGCAAAAGAAGCGAATGATGGACGGCCGCCTGTGAAGAAGCAATCTGCAGGAGAGTTGCGAGTTCAAAAAGGTGAGTTGTTTTGGACTTGTGGAATGTTCCAGTAACCTTGATTGGCCAGCTTTTGGTGGTTGTTCTTTTGTTCTGGACTTGATCTGGGAGTGTTCAAGCAACTCTTAATCTGAAAGCACCTAATTCTGCCAAGAAGGCCGTTGAACCTTTTTCAGCTCAAGCAAAAGGATATTGGTACAAGCAGACTGTAAACCGGTGATTTCTATTATCCAAAGCAAACACTTATCAGCGTTCAGAGGTCAGTAGTCTGATATAAATTCTTAGAATGCTAGCCAGCAATGTAGTGACAAGTTGTCAGTTGGTGCTAGGGTTATTTGGCTGGCTTTTGCAAGACTTCTGCTGTTCCAACATATTGGTCGTCGCGCGCTTTCAGTGCTTATAATTGGCAGTCTGCTTGACTGCCGGACATAGCTGTTTAGTGCAATGCTCCTAAGGCCATCTGATGTGAAGTGTGGCTGCTTCATAACTGCCGATGCTGAAAGAAGCGAGCAACTTGGGGAGTCAAGATTCGACCACCAAGTGGTTCTGGGCTTCAGACCCATAGCAACACTTCCTCCTTTACTTGGTTGCTAGCCTATCACTGAATCTTTGTTCTACTCCATTGCTTCTTTCTCTTTCTAAGCAATCCTGCAAAGTGGTTAGGATGGAGAGTTATCTTAGCACGAATGGTTTTAATGGAGAGATTGTATGGAACTAATCAGGGCTAAGCGCTTGCATTCACCACATCGCACAGATTAAGGACACAAAAGCCATCACAAACGATATACTCCATCCCTCTTCCTGCAGATATCAGCGAATTGGTACTCAGCAAAACCACATCAATCACTTTTCCAAATGGGAAAAACGACCTCCTTAACTTCGAAATCACGATAAAACCGGACGAGGGGTACTACACGTGAGTTTTTCTTGTTCTATTGTCAGATTTGCTCTCATCGATGTGGACACATCTTGCATCCGTGACCCATCTAAGCCTGACATTCTGACAGGCTTTGGAGGACGTTGTTCACTTGTCCCTGGAAGAAAGTCTTAGCATGTCTTAATGTATACGAAGGGGGTTGCCTTTCAACTGTCCATCAAGAGTATCTGTTCCAGGTGCAGGAATGTAGACTCCTCAGTTTCTCGCTCAATCTGCTTCTCTGTCTCTCTCAGGGGGGGCACCTTCGTCTTCAGCTTTTCGATACCGACCATCTATCCTCACGAAGCACCGAAAGTGAAGTGCAAAACGAAGGTAGGTTGCCTTCGCCGACCATGATCCGTCCAGGCGAAATCACTTCACTAAGAATTTGGCAGAGAATGGTCAGGACTGCCCTGCCTTTGTTCAGAGGTTTAGGGTCGACCGAGAGGCCGTTGATTTGCAAGGTTTTGCTCTCTTTAGAGGGCTCTGTTCTTACTTCATCATCTTGAAGATCTCGACCGCATTCTACTCAATGTCGGTACTTTTCACAAAACCTGCACTTGTTTTGTTCTCGTATCTGTATCTTCACCCTCACTCTTCTGTAAGCTCAAAAGCAGGTCACGAAGTTCAGATCTTGTTCCAAGTCATGGGGAGTTGAGTACATGTTCCTCGTTTCAACCTGTGTGCCTGCTCGTTTTCCAGGTCTACCACCCAAACATCGACCTGGAGGGCAACGTTTGCCTGAATATTCTGAGGGAAGACTGGAAACCCGTCCTTAGCATCAGCTCCATCATCTATGGCTTGCAATATCTCTTCCTGGACCCAAACCACGACGATCCGCTCAACCACGAGGCAGCGGAAGTATTGCGGGACAATCCGAGGCAGTTTGAGTCAAACGTAAAGAGATCATTAGCGGGTGGCTACGTGGGGGGCCATCACTTCCCACGCTGCATATAGACGCTGCCGCAGACCGGGTCCTTGTATACGTGTCATTGTCAGGGGGAAGGATCGAACTGTACAAAAATGCTTTGTCATCCATAACTGCGTACTAGACGACCAATTTGCTTGCTGCCATGCAGGTCTGTGGCCTTATCTGGATCCATTTATGTCAAGCTAGCAAGTCGAGCATAATGGTTGAGAGCTTCCTGATTGCGACAGGTTTCTTCAGTCCTCCTAAACCACTGCTCAACTACGGCTGCAAAATTGAAGAAACTGGCTTCCGCCGGACGGCTACACATGCCTTACTTTCAAATCCACTGCCACATTCTTGAAGCGCATCATTGCGGGCAGCCTTAGCTTGGTTGTGCACTATTGACCACGCCTGGCTGGGGCCCGACTAGTCCAACTAAAGTAGCCCGACTGAGCTAGCTTTCAAGTGCGATATATACACGTGCATATGACGGTCATGGCTGTAGCATGCGGCACGTTGCCGGTTCCTGCGGATCGCGCGTTCACTGAAGGCAGAAGCTCGAACTGTGGCACTAGCTCCATGTGCGCTGCATCAGCGTTTTGAAACTGCACCGTCCGGAGTATGTGGCAACCTCGGTGGTGTCAGGTACCACTTATGATCAACGGAGTCCTCTTCGAACAGACTGCTCTAACAATCAGGGCTTTGTACAATGGCTCTGACGGTCACTCTATTCAGCCACAATCACTTGAGACTTCCGATGAACGAGCATACACAGTTCGCACTGGTTTTATGGTATGTTGGACTCCACTCAAGGACTCCAAACGCACATCCAAAACTGAGGTCCCAATAGGTTTCTGTCCTTTACAAACACAGAGAATCTTAGGTGAACACGTGCAAAACTCACGCCTGGATATGTACGTTTCTAAAATACTTGCCCACCACATCTTCTTGTTTGCAGTGAGTGTATAGAACCTTGTACACCTCCATGAGTAGATGGGGAAACTTGCCGGTGAAATATGAAAGAAAACCGTCCGGCAATGGCCCCAGGAGCTCCTGCATCAGCATCCGACAGAAGAGTAAGCAAAGAGTCTTCTTGCAGAACCTAGGAGCACGTTGAGTGTGGAACGAAACCAGACTGAGAGAAACTGTTTGGGAAATGTGCAACTTTATGCAACATGATTGTTTTCCTGCCGCTTTCGCTCGGTATAGAACATGTTCATGGTATTTGCGAACCAGACTGCCGTCTCAAACTCGGAAAAGCCGTCCAGAAGAATTCCGAAGGGAGAAAGGTCTGCAGCACCGTTGAGAATGAGACGTGCGCACGTCTATTTTCTGTTCGACTCTGCCAGTTGCAACTCCGGAGCATCGCCGACGAGTCGTTCCCTTGTCACGCCCCCCCTCTCGATTCCTTATAACTCATAAACTTCCCAGAATGCGTCTTTAAGTAGGAAAAACTTCCAACCTTACGTCTTCAATCAACAAAAGATGAGGTCTTTGACCAACTATAATATGCCCAATCACAACTCTCAACCCTTTTCCCCATATTTACCCTCACCTTGACGCTCTGCGGGAGCTCCCGGTAATGATTGCACTTGTTGCGGATGACCCGCAACAAATCCCGGATGCTGCGGCTGTTATACCGCCGGTACTTCCCCAAGTTTTCTAGAAGCGCCTTGTCTAGTTGCACGTCCCATGCGCCGATCGCCGCGCTCTGCCCGACGCTCTCCATCGCCGCCAACAGGAGGGATCCCTCTTCCCGGTCTTCCAGCTCCACGCGGTCGCTCGCGTCGCGCAGGAACGCGAGGCGCTTCTCGGCAGACCAGAAGAAGGGGTGCAGCAGAGCCTCTTCCGCAGTGGGCCTGGAAAGAAGTGAGTAACGCCTTGTGACGAAGTCAAAGAATTGGCAATCCATTTAGCGGGATTGCTTGCAAGCTAGTGAGAAAGCGCTGACTCTTTTACGGGTTTGCTTGCTCTGTGACGACTCTGTGGAGAGATGCGTGCGGAGGCCTTCTAGGCCTGGCCTGGGGGCCGAGATGACAGAGCAACGTATCAGGCCCGAAGGCGAGGTGGCCCCGCTCACAAGCGAACCAGGGTTCTCGAAAGAGCACGAAAGTCGGCGCTGGACTTCACACAGCTTCAACGACCAACCAAAGCATGTAAGCATCCCCCCCTCACCGCTCCAGGGGGTCCGTCCGCAGCAGCGCCCCGACGAGGTGCGCGGCCTCGGGCATGTGCTGGAGCGGCCACAGGTCGGGCTCGCCTTTCAGCACGTTGCTGTCGCGCTCGAAGCGCTCGCCAAACGGGTGCCGCCCGCCCGTGATGCAGAAGAAGAGGACGCAGCCGAGCGAGAAGAGGTCCACCGCGCGCGTCTGCCGCCCATGCAGCAACTGCTCGGGGGCCTGCCACCCGCTGCTCCCGGCACCTGGCGAGGATCGACGTCGAAAACAAGTGAGTTTGCTGTTAGGTATGTTGCTTTCGATGCAGAGCCGGCGCTTGGGGGGGTGCGTTTGCCGCCCGTGCAGCAGCTGCTCCAGGGCCTGCCCCCCGCTGCTTCCCGCGCCTGGTGAGAGTCGAAATGAAGTGAGGTTCTGATGAGCCATAATGCTTACGACGTCGAAGCAGGAATTACAGGCCCCGAGATGGGAGGCGACTGTGCAACAGTTGCTCCAGGGCCTGCCACCCGCGGCTCCCGGCTCCTGAGAAGGATCGACATCGGGAACGACTGAAAGTTTGATGGATATGTTGCTTTCGATGTTGACCCGTGAAGCAGCTGCTCCGGGGCCTGCCACCCGATTTTGGCGTCGTAAAGATGTCACAAAGGAATTGACCATGTTGCTTTCGACGTTGAGCAGGAGAAGCGAAACGCCAAGATGCGGAGAAGGAAGGAATCAAGGCAATTCCCGACCGGAGGCAAGAGCATCCAAAACATCCCCAGTGACCGTTTGGCACACGTTGTGGAGGCGAACCATTTGGCAGCGTGTCTCGCTGATTTGCCGAAACTTTCTGTCGCCCTTTGAAGTGTTCAGTTTTCCTGGCTCAAATTGATTCTGTCGTCTACCGAATCTTCTCTTGGTTCTCGAACAGTCTGGCCGTCCCATATGAATCTTGAGAAATGCATATCGCAACAATCTTGATATTTGAGTGTGAGCATAAATGATAAGCGACCCCTTCACCCGTTGCATGCGGGTCGAAGGAGCTCTGCTCGTCCAGCAGCCGCTTGCTGATGCCCATATCCGACAGCTTCGCGCGCCCCGCCACGCTTATCAGCACGTTCTGCGGCTTCAGATCCCGATGCACGATCCCAAGCGCATGCAAATGCGCAAGCCCGGACACCATATCTTTCAACAGCCGCTGCAGCGTTTCCGTGGGGCGATCCCGTTCGTCCCAAAGGACCCACTCCTCCCCTTTCGCCCCCCTCCGGGCCCTGCCATTTCGCACCCCCCCGGAGGTGCTCGGCTCGCCGGGGGGTCGCCGCTGGCAGGCGTTTCGTCCCCCTGGATCAGATCAAACACGCTGAGCTTGCACCGCTCGAGGGCGACGTACACAAAGTCGCCGTCTTCTTCCATCGCGTAGCACCGGACGACGTTCGGGTGCTCGTCCGAGATAACTAGGTTGGCAATCTCTTTCGTGGCCTTCTCGTAGAACTGCCCCAGCAGCCGCTTGACCGCGACCTGGCGCCCCTCCAGCTCGCCTTCCAAAACAAGCGTCCCGTGACTTCCGTAACCTATAATTTTGCTGCTAACTTTCAACCGACCCACCCTTAACCCATCCGTTAACCCTCCCCCCTCCTTCCGTGCGCTAATAGTTAGCTCCTTTCCCTCCCCCGAGTGCGTCCCGTTTGCAGCCGCATCGTTCCCCCCAGAAGGATTCTTCCGCGCCTTCTTCTTCTTGGGGGTCTTCTTCGCCTCCGAAACCACCCCCCCATTCTCGTTCTTACCCTTCCGCTCGAGCCACAACCCATACGCCGAGCGCCCGTACCAGCTCCCCAACCCTACGACGACCACCACTAACACGTACGAAACCGCACTCGTAACCGCGCCTAACCAACCCGGTTCCCGTTTCCGACCGACCTCGCCGCCCCTCTCCCCTCCCCCTCCGGAGTTGAAAGAAGAAACCGGAGAAGAGCACCACCAATCCCCCGGGTTACAATCCCCGGGCACTCCCTCCGCTTTTCGCTCCTCTTGGACGACGATCGGCGCAGGCAACTGGAGAGGCCCTGTATTTGGGTTGTCTCTCACTGCCATGGCTTTTCCAGTGAGTCTACCCCAACCCGGGCTCCTGTCAGCAGGGCCTCTTCGGCTGGGGACGAGCTCCTGAAGGAGCTCCCCGGTGGGACTGAAAACGGCGACCGGGGGGGCCGGGAAGACGACCCGCCATTGCTCGCCCTCGGCAGTCGAGTCGAGTCTGCAGAAACGGGGGTGTAATGTCAAAAGATTTGCCATCGGCGAGAGCGGAGGAAAAACTCACGTGGAGGAGACTACGGGACGAGTTGTAGATTGGTGTTGGATCAAATGGAAGCTCTTCACATATTGCCAGCACAGCGTAATTCAAAAGCAGACACCGGACAGGTTTTGGCGAACCCGCAGGAGATACCAAGGCGAAGAAGGAAAGGTAAGGTTGTGATGATCACAACGTGCAAAAGTATTCATTCTGGCAGAAAAAGCGATTTTCCAGCACGAAACATACCTTGATCAGCTCTACCGCTGTACAAGTTACCAACTACTCCTTGCACAGCAAGAAACGCATCCAACCCGCAGGAATGATTATCGCTTTTTCCTATCTGGTACGAGCAAGCAGGCCAAAAGCAGCTCATCATAAGGGGTCTGCGGACTGAAATACCAGATTCAAGCAGCAACCAAACAAGATTTGCGTGCCCAGACCCTTCTTTGGAAACCACCCACCTTCTAAGCGAATTGTCCTGGCCACCTTCCAGGTTCATCCCCCGCCCCTCCGGCAGCTCCTTGACCGCCCCCGCCCCGACGCTCGGGTCAGAAACTTTGCTCCCCCGACCAGTGGACGTCTGTATGTGAGGCTCGTCTTTTACGACCGGGGGGGGCAGGCTGCCGGTCGGGAAACGCCAGGCAGCCGGGTTGTAGAGCGTCGACAGTTCGCCCATGCTCAGGTTCCAGCGCTCGAGGCCGGAGACGGCGTCCATGGACTTGACGTTGTAGTCGGTGCGCACGACGAAGAGGGGGCGGTGCTGGCAGCTCATGCCTGGGAAAGGCGACGAAGCTTCATTGAGAGGTTGTTTTTGAACGTAATCCCAAACGTGTGACTGTCAGGAGAGGCGCAATGAGGACGGCGGCAGCTTTAGGTCTTGGTCAGACTAAATTTTCTTCGGCGACATGACACGAACGCGAGTCCAAGCCTTTGCAATCGTACAAATCGAGCACAACCTCTACCCAGTCACGCACCCGCATGGGACGAGTAAAACTCCGACAGAGTATACGATGTTTCTTTCGCTTTCACTCCGCTGGCATATTCTTGCCCAAGCGTATTGAGTCTCAGTGCAGGTTCGCTCAGATAAGAAGCGTCCGACTCGCACTCCCTTACCGGACGGCCCCTCCGCCGCCACCTCGGCCGCCCTGTCTGCATGGTCCGGCTGCTCGAGCTCCTCCTGCTCCCCCACGTAAATGCACTCGTCCACCTCCCCCACTTTCAAATCATCCGGAGCCGTCAGATCGCCTCCATCGACGGCCTCAAACGTCCCGGTGCTGGCGTCAAACTTCTTGAGCAGCTTCCCGGAGGCGGCGTCGACCATGAAGACGGTGGACTGCCGTGCGCCGACCACGATGCCCCCGTCATGCGTCATGGAGGGGGACGCCTGGACCAGTTCTCGCGCGGTGATGGGCAGCTTCTGCGGGGTGAGAGGCCGAGCGTTACTGCGGAGCGTCTGAGGATCTTTCTAGGAGCGTTTTCCTCTGAAACTTGGATAGGACATCGGTTGATCAACGCAAGTCCCTGATAAGAAAGATCGACCCCTCCGCTTAAGCTGAAGGTGCGCCAAAGATAAGGTAATTTCGGATGCAAGAAGGGACGGCCAAGGGGCAACAATATAAACGGGATTCGCGAATTTTTCCGAGCCAGAAACCAGGCCGAGAATGGTCCTGGAGTCTGCCATGAGACAGCCACAATTGGGCCTTATGCCACTCAAGAACCAACCGAGCATCTGACAATGAGTCAGAATGAACAAAGGGTGGATCGAGGGGGGAGTCACGAAAAGCCGAGGATGGGCCATCAAGTAGCCGAGGATGAGCCAAAGATTAGCCGAGGATGAGCCAGAGATTAGCCGAGGGTGAGCCAGAGGTGAGCCAGAGATTAGCCGAGGGTGAGCCAGAGGTGAGCCAGAGATTAGCCGAGGGTGAGCCAAAGATTAGCCGAGGATGAGCCAAAGCTTAGCCGAGGGTGGGCCAAAGATTAGCCGAGGGTGAGCCAGAGATTAGCCGAGGGTGAGCCAGAGATTAGCGGAGGGTGAGCCAAAGATTAGCCGAGGATGAGCCACAGATTAGCCGAGGGTGAGTCACAGCTTAGCCGAGGG